AAGGTAATTGAGGCCAAAAAAGAGTAACTTGCTTGAGGTCACACAGCTTGTAAGTGACAAAGCCAGCACTCAAACCCAGGAAGTCCAGCCCAGAGCCCCTGCTATTAACCACCAAGCTATGTTGCCTTTTGTTTACAAAGAAAATTATGCTAGGAATAAAGGAAACAGCAAACAAGATCCAATGAGAGAGAGTTCTCAGACATAGAAAAATTCTCAGTTAGTGGGACATTGAGCCACTTGCCTCTAGACGTGAGCTGCACCATCCCAGGACAGAGAAGAGGCACAGGGAAATCCTGCTGGCCAAACCAAAGTAGGAAATGCCACTCAAGTCAGGGTACAGTCAGACCCCCACCGACCCCAGAGTACAGGGATCTACTCCAAGCTTGCGGGGCCACAGTTGGGAAAGTGAAGGGTACAAAAGGCATTGGGGTAGCAAAACAGTTTCTGTTCCTTATCAGGAGCAAAGGTGCTTCCTTATCAGGTGGGGGCCCAACAAAAGACACTCATAAGCTGTCAGTTTGTTCTCCATAACCCATTGTAGGTGGTGAACACCTGCCACGGGGAAGCAGTGGGTCAGGGTTACAGGAGGAGGAAGCTACCAGGAAGGCCCAGGAAGAAGGGGTCTGGAGGGATGGGAGTCAGGCTAGGGTAGACTCTTCACTTCCCCAAGCCTCAGTTTCCTCATCTGAAAGTAGAGATAACCATCCCCAGCTGGCAAGGTCATGGCCAGGTCAAAGGAAACACCACCTGTAAAGCATTAGCATAGGGCACAACCTGGCACAGAGTCAGGTTCAATGAATGATAAAGCATATTTTTATTATCAGCAGATCCACTTGACACGGATTATAAATAGCTCAAGGAACAAGTTAAATGCATTTTGGTAGATTTTGAAGACACACTGAAGGAAAGGTGAAGGGCAGAAGAGCAGAAGGCTCTGGAAAAAGTACATCACAGCAGCCCATTGCGATGCTTGTGTATGGTCACGTGAGCCCGGCATATGAAAAGGCTCTGTGAGCCTCGAGGCCCAATGTAGCATCATTGCTCTGTGACCGTGCAGGTCTCAGCAGTGTGGACACGGATGTCCTCGTGTCCATCTGCAAGTGATGGCAGGCGGAGCTTAGTCACACAGAGCACACATTACCGGAGGAGAGACATGGGTCTGTGTAATTCTGCGAGGGAGTGATCCTAAAAACAAGGTGATCAAGGGCCACTCAGGACTGTAGAGAAGTCACTCAGAGCAGTGGGGAAAGGCCTGGCAGAGGAACCAGAAGACACAGGTCCTAGAACAAGCCCTGATATTTCAAACCAAGTTATTTAACATCTTGAGCCTTGGCTTATTTATCCGCCAAGCAGATAAAACAATGCCTGCCTGTCTTTCTCCCTAACCTTGGAGAGGATCAATAAAACAATGAAAGTGAAAGCATTTTGTAAACTCTGTAGTGCAAGCATATGAAGAGGGGGAAGGGAATGAGCCATGTTTTCACCAGTAACTTGAGTGAGGGGATAGGAAAAAGGCTCAGAACTTCAGGGAATGCAAGAGGGGCTGGACCCTGGATTGGGAGAGGGAAGCAATGGTGGACTTGATACCTTAGAGGGCCAAGGATCAAGGGGTTAAAGGTCAATGAGGACAGGACTGGATCATCAGGAAACTGAATGTGTTAAGATTGTGGCTTTGGCCAGGCGGGGTGGCTCACGCCTGTAATCCTAGCACTCTGGGAGGCTGAGGCGCTGAAGCGGGCAGACTGCTGGAGGTCAGGAGTTCGAAATCAGCCTGAGCAAGAGCAAGACTGTCTCTAGTATAAATAGAAAGAAATTAATTGGCTAACTAATATATATAGAAAAAATTAGGCATGGTGGCGCATGCCTGTAGTCCCAGCTACTTGGGAGGCTGAGGCAGCAGGATTGCTTGAGCCCAGGAGTTTGAGGTTGCCGTGAGCTAGGCTGACACCACAGCACTAACTCTAGCCTGGGCAACAAAGCGAGACTCTGTCTCAAAAAAAAAAAAAAAAAAGATTGTGGCTTTTTCCAGGCTTGGGTGGAGTAGAGTCCTCCAAGCACCACAGTAACCCAGGGCTTGGGGACATCACAAAGGCAAGGTAGCTCCCAGGGCTGAGACAGACTGGAGAAGATGATATCCATCTATAGGATTCTTAAGATGGATTTGACCTTATCAGTCGTCTTTGACAGACGTTTTCCCAGCTCTTCTTTTTTTGGAACAGAGAGAACCTAGGTGACCCCTAAGGTTCCACAGAGCAGAGTTAGCAAATCCCTGGTTCAGCCTCATTATTTTAATGGGATGGGAATGGAATCCCAGAAAAGAGATGTGATTTCCTGAAGGTCACATAGCAAGTCGTTGCCAAGCTGCAACTGGAACTCAGCTTTTCTGGTTCCCAGCCCTATATCTTAGCTTCCCAAACTGGCTATGTGTACAAGAAAGAACAGACGGGCAGGAGAGCTTTCAGGATGTGATTTCATAGGTAGGAAGATCCCTTAATCTAACATCTCCTCCAGCTGCCCAGCAATGACTGAAATCCTCTCCTTTACTGACTCACAGTCTCAAGGTTAGAGAAGTCACCTGGTCCACCTCCCTCTCTACTTCTCATGCAGGGTCTGCTGAGCACTCTGGTGACAGAGAACTCACCTGGCATGTGCCATGGCAGAGGCTCTTCATTAGATCAAGGTGACTTGTCTTACTGGAGCCTCTAACCACGTGTCCCAGTATTGTCCTTAGTCACATGCATCTAGGTCCTCTCTCTCAGGACAGTTCTTTGAATAAATGAGGACAACCCCCTTTCCCCAGTTGATTTTCCAGACTACATCTCACATTGTTGTTGGTTTTCCAATGTTCTTCCTTGTTACTTGCTGGGTCCACTACACAATGTGTCCTCCGTTTGGTCTTCTCCTGAAAGTATTACCTAATACTGCACAGTAATTCTGGGAAGTGGATCTATTCCTTCATCCCAGGTGCCATAACTTCATCTATGCCTCCTCAGATCTCAAGGATTTTCCTGCATTTCATGCTACAGGCTCCCATTTAATGTTGCATTGACTAACACATCACTAATTTACACACAGACTCTACTGAGCCACACCCTTACCAAGGCTCATACTCTGGCCTCCTGTTGTTTAAATGATTCTGTTGTTTAAATGATCCTCTTAGATCATTTAAAGATCCAAGAACAGGGCCTTGCACTCCTTGCTAAGAAATTTTACTATGTTACACTCAGCCCACAATGCTTAGCAGGCCAGATCTTTGTGGATCCTGGCTCTGTCTCTCCAGGGTGTTTCTTCTTGGCTTCCTGCCCCCTGCAAACAGGGCTGTAAAGAGGCTCTCTGCCTCCCCATGCACGTCACTGAGGCCCTCACCAGTCTGGACTCCTGCCCTGGCTCATTGACTTGATGAATATAGGAGCCTACTCCCTCCTCACGAGGCCTGTGGTGCACAATGATGTGGAATGTGCTATGCCCCGACAATAGATGGCTAAAGTAGGGTATCATTAAGTTTTCAAAGGCATAAAGAAAAGGAAAGAGATCATGACAAAGTTATCGATAGAGCCCTCTGTGTGATGGGACTACAGGGGATTTCTCTGTACCTATCTCCACGCCTCACCAAGCCAGTATTTAACAGAGGCCTTGTGTGTGTGTTTTCCAAAGTTCTACACTGAGTATGTTATTTGGAAAACCAGAAAAAATAAAGTGACAAGTAAAATGAAAATAAATAAAGACTCTTTCCCTAGGTGGACCTGGATGAATTCATCAGCACTCTTTGGGAAGGGGCACCTAATTGTCCAGGCTTCCAGCCCACAGGGCACAGGGAACTCTCCAGAGCTGTCTTGTGAGAGCCCAGGGCATTCTCTCGCCTGCTGGGAGGATCCTGGATCCAGAAAGAGATCACTTCCTTCCTCAGGGAAAGAAACCCCTGACCCTGGGGAGGAGAGCAGGAGCTGGCCTTGAAAACTCAGCTGCCACTTTAGGTACCTTCACTAGCTTTGTTTCCCTCTAAGGGAAGGCGTTTAAGGCAGTTTTCCTGCCAACGTGGTTTGGAAAAGGTGGGAAGCGAACACTGGGCCCGTGGCCCTGGTGGGCACAGTATTCAGAAGGGCCTTTAGGTGGTGAGGGAAAGGGCCCAGCCAGGAGAATGATCCACTCCACCCCCTTCCCAGACTTCCCCAGGCCAGACCTAGGATGCAGGGCCAGAGTTCCCCTTTGCACCCTCCTCTCTGAAGGCCAAAGAAGGCCTGGAGGCAACTACGCCCTCGCGTCCTCAGCGTCGTGAGGCACCTGAATTGCCATCACGCGACACACAAAGCCCTACGTGGCTTAGGTGCAAAACCTGGTCTGGCTTAGCCTCCTCCGACCAGCAGAGGGCGCGCAGCACCCGCGAGAAGGAGGGTGCCCCACTGGCCTGGCTGGGAGCCGCCGGCGAGGAAGGCGGGCGGGCGGGAGATCCCTTCTAAAAACAAGGCAGCAGATCCACAGAAAAGATAGCGACAGATACTGGGGGCAGGGGGCAGTTTGTGGGTGGGAGAGAAAGTGGAAGTGAGAGCGGGAGGGAGAGGGGCGGTGGCAAGGGGATGGAGGTGGGGAGGGGATGGGGTGGGGAGGGGATGGGGGTGGGGAGGGGATGAGGGAAGGCTAGGATGGGCTGAAGATGAGCCGAGGTGGGGTGGAGGTTGGGATGAGGTGGGGGCAAGTGAGATGGGGAGAGTGCGATGTGGGAGCTTGCTGGGAAGGAAGTTGGGATGGGGTGCGGTAGGGTGGGGGTGAAGGAGGGGTGAGGCGCAGTGGTCGACTGAGGGGGGTGCAGCAGGACGTCCCCCTCGTAGGCTGCGCCCACCCGCCAGGGCGCCTGGCTGCCGGCCAGCAGCACCCGAGCCCGCTTTGCCCTCCTCTGAGGCTCTTCCTCCGCAGGTCTTTCTGCTCCGGCCTGGCCTGAGCCTCTCCCTCCTTTCCCCCAAGACAGGTTCTGGTGCAGCAAAGAACAGAGCTGAGGCGGCGGGGAGCTCGGAGCTTTAATGGGGCGAGAAGGGAGTAGAACACATTGGCCCTCCTACCCAAGTGCGAGGACTGGGGGAAGGGGACCGTGTGTCTGAGGGCCAGTGGCCCTTACCAAAGCCGCTCAGGTCCTGGAAAGGACTGTGAGAGGCCTTCACGTGCTGGGTTGGGGGCAGATCCGGGGAGGAGAGAAAAGGTGAGAAAAGATTTGGAACTCAAAACAGAAGGGTCACAGTGATGGGGCTTTAGGAGCCAGAACAAGGTGTGAGGGGAGGAGAGGAAAGGAAGAGGAGGTCCTGGAACCCCTTTCCAGGATCTGGAGACCTAGAAGAATGTAAAAGTCAAGGGGTGGGGACAATCGCCCTCCTCCAGGGATTAGGGGGTGAGGTGGGGACAAATACAGTATTAGAGGGGGATTGGGGGGCTTCCGGTCCCTTCCCCCGGGGCTAGGTGCTGCAGGTGGAGTAAAATCTGGGTTAAAGGAAGGTTGGGGGGGCGCCAGGCCCCCTCCTGGGACTGTGGCCCGGGCTGGGCGGGGCTCTGGGCTTGCGGGAGGCTCCCGGCCGCCCCGTCTAGTGGTAATGCCCCCCCAAGTGCGAGGCGGCGGCCACTGCGCCGAAGGGCCCGGGCGGGGGCTGCAAGCCCGGGCTGGGGTAGAGCGCGGCGGTGGTGGCGGCGGCGGCGGTGGCGGCGGGGCCCGGGCCCGGCCAGTAGGAGAAGCCGGCGGGCGCTACGCCGGCCGAGGCGGCCATGAGGTTGAGTTTGGAGAGGCCGGGGAAGGGCAGCGGGGCGAGGCCGGCGGGCAGCTTGTAGAGCGCGCCGTCCTGGGCGGCAGCTGCAGCGGCGGCGGCGGCAGCCGCGGCGTGGGCGTGCGCGGGCGGCGGCTGACAGGCCTGTGCCAGGCCCTGGAAGTCGAAGCGGTAGGCATAGCGCTTGCCGTGCACCTTGCTCATGATGTTTTTGTCGTAGTAGTAGCGAAGTGCGCGGCTCAGCTTGTCGTAGTTCATGTTGGGCTTGCTCTTGCGCTCGCCCCAGCGCCGCGCCACCTCGTCCGGGTCGGTGAGCTTGAACTCGCCGTGGCCGCCCTCCCACGCGATGCAGCCGGCGTTCGCGCGGTCCGCCAGCAGCTCCAGCAGAAACTGCCACAGTTGGATCTGCCCGCTGCCTGTGGGGAGGGAGCGGTCAGCCACAGGCGGGAAGGGGAGGCTGGAACTAGGGTAGGGGTGAACCAGCGTCGGGCAGGGAAAGGGTTCGTCCAGCTGGAGCGGCCGGCCAGGGAGTGGCCGATCAGCAGAGCATTCCTAGCCACTACTGCGCTCTTGCACAATGGAAGCGCGGCTTCCACTTAGTAGGACGCAGCCCCTGGACACATGGTTTTGTGAAAACTAGGGGGAGAGGAGGAAGAAGCATTTCTTCCTCCACCTGGATGCACTTAGGCATTCGGCTATCCAAGGTGATCAGGGGCCAGGTATCAGCCACTACTGCCACCTCAGCGGGGCACCCTTATTCAGGAGAGAGCCTGCACAACCGCTGGACCACGCCCAGAGGTCCGGATGGGAAGGGGCTGTCCTACAACACGACAACCCCGGCCACTCCAGGACAAGGCCCACGAGTTCCCAGTCCCCAAATGCATACAGTTGGACAGGCCCCGCCTCAGATGGCCTGGCAGCCGACTTCCTTGGGATACCACATCGGACAGGAATAGGGACAGTGACACCCTGTACGTGAAAAGTGGGGCAGGCTCCCAGGGGCTCCCCATCGTAGCCGCCTTCAGGTGCGCAGAGCTCTGCGCCGCCGGCTCTGCTCCTGCTCGGTCTCTTTTTTCGGAATAGGCGGGATTCCCTGTATGCAAAGGTGCCACGATTTGGCTCATGCTGGGAGGGAAGACAGGACTGAGAAACCGTTGTGCTCAGCTCCCAGCCTCCTCCTGGCTTTGGCTCATATCCCTCTGGATTTTGGGGTTGCTGGAGGCAGCAAGGAGGTTTTTCTCAGATATGTGGATGGTGAGAGAGTGGGGTCCCCAGAATTCCTGCTCCCCTGTCTTGGAGCCTGAAGCAGACAGGCAGATAAACATCTTGATACAAGTACCCCACTCCCTTTCAGATTAAAACAGGTTTTCATGGAAGTTGTCTGGTTACTGCCTCAAATCGAGTCTGATGAATTCCTGCTCCCTTTTTCAACCACTATCTTAGAACCCAGACACTAGCTACCCTCCCCAATAATTTTAATCCCAATGTTTCCAAGCCAGCCCAGCGAGGAGCTGCACAGCTCCAGGTCACCAGTCGTTCAGTTGGGTCAGAAGCGAGGGAAAATTTGGGTACAAATGTGCACCTGGCACCAATGAGGATGCTACATCAGAGGCTGAGAAACCTGTTCCTGCTGGGCCTCGTTGTTTCAGTCTGGATAAAGCAGTTGCTGACCTCGGTTTTTGTGTGTGTGTGTGTGTGTGACAACTATAACTTGGTAAGATCTAGGGTACTCACTGGTGGGGCTTGAGGAGGCGTTGCCTGGAGGGCCAACCTCCAAGAGAGTAATTTAGCGACCCTCGAGCACGAGCACCGGTGGTGAACCTGGGAATCAACTATAATCGTTGTGCAGACTTGGCCCGCAGAATTGGCCAGGGCGGGAGGGTGCAGCAGAAGGCACTGGCTCTGGTCTAGTAGTTGGGCAACCCTGCGTGGCCAGGGAGTAATTCTCTGGGTCCCCTTGCCGGGTGGTACGTACTTGCGTTCCTGCTGCCCGCAGGGAAAGGACGCCAAGCACCTCAGCCTTGGCCACAAAGCCTGCAAAACCACACGCTTGCACAAAAAGGGATGGGATCCTCTCCGTCTGTCCTGGACTGAAAGTTCAGCCCTGGGACTCGGGAGATGCAGTAGCCCAAAGCCAAGCGAATGTCTCCCCAGGGCCTCCCCACAGTCAGGCCAGGACCCTACGATTCCCAGAACCCGGGCTGCACATCACTCTGGCTTTCTACCCAGGTGGTGGTAGTGCCCGTCCTATTGGGACCTGTGCTCCCCACCCCATCCACTGCCCTCGCCTCCGCCTGCCCAGTGCGACCGCCTGCTCACCTTTCTGCACCGCAGGGCTCAGCGGCCCCCAGCCCGGGCTCTTCCCTTCCTTGAAGAGACTGTCTCCGACAGGATCTGCGGCAGCAGAAGAAAACAGTCAGGAACACCCAAGCGGAGTTATGGATTTGACCGAAAGGGCCCAGGCCAAGGCTCGAGGGGGTGCGGGGGTCCTCAGGCGCGAGGCTGGGGGCCCGGGCCACCCGGCTCCTCCTCCCGGAGTCCGGCCCCGGCGCGCGCCTCGCGGAGCCCCTCGGTAGCGCCCAAGTCAGGAAACGCGTCCAGGAAAAAGGAAATCCGCTTTCCGAAGGGGCCGGCTGGAGCCTTATAAAGCCGAGCGGGGATTGCGCCAGCCGAACCGGAGCGTGCAGAGCCCATCGGAGGGAAGAGGAGGGCTCCTGGAGGGCCGGGCGGATGCGAATGCTCGGTGAACGAAGGTGAGGGGCGGCGAGAGCGCAGGGGCGACGCCCGGCGGACCACAGCCTCCCCGCACGGCTCGAGCACCGAGTCCCCTACAACGCCTAAGACCACTGCTTCCCCTACCAGGCTCTTTCAGGCCCCTGAACCCCCGCCCTTTGCCTCCCAGGCCCCCAATCTGCTCACTTCGAGTCCCTTAGACCCCACTCTGAAACCCAGAGCTCTCTCTGCCGTTAAGTTCCCCCTAAATTGCCATCAGTTTTCCCGGCAATCCAAATCTTTGGACCGCTTCCCCTTCCTTTGGACCCGAGAACCCCCTTTCCATGCCGGAGCCAGACTTCCCGCCCCAGGTCCTGGTGCCTCCAGCCCCCGGCTGGTCCCTGGTACCTGGCAGGTACATGTTGATCAGCAGGGGCTGGGAGGCGCCGCTCTGTCTCATCGCCGCCGGGGACTGGGCGGTGGGAGTTGGGGGGGACCGGGAGGGGGGCGCGTCAGGCTTTGCGCTCCGGGGCACCGGTCCCCACCCGAGAGGACCGCGGGTGGCAGGGAGGAGAAGACGGCGCCCGGTCGGCAGGGCCTGGCGGGAGGGGGCAGCCCGGGCGTGGCGGGGGATAGAGGGGGGTCCTGGAGCAACGCTCCCAGCTACGGGGCCGCTTGGAACCCTCCGGCCCCGGCGCGGGCAGGGGCCGCAATTTCCGTTTTAATTAAAGCGCGGCCGCCTCGGCCCCCGGGACCCCGCCTCCGCCCCTCTTATCGTCCCATCGCAATAAAGTCTCCAACGCGCCGCGCCACAGCCAAGCGCACCCAGCAGCCCCCCGCGCCCCGCAGCCGGGGAGACGCGCGGGGGATGGGCCCCGGCCGCGCGCTCTGATGGGGGCCCGAGCATGTTTCTTTTCCGCCTCCCTGACTCTCCGCAAACAGTGACTGGGCGGGTGTACCCGGACCCCAGCGGCCCCAGCCTCCTCCCTAGAGGCCTTTCCGTCTGCTTCGGCTCCCCTTGCCGCTCACTCTCCTCCCATTCTTCCCCCCACCCCAACCTCCACCCGGGTTGCCGTCTCTAGGCTGCGTTATCTGCATCTTCACTTTTAAATTTCCGCTTCCCTCCCTCTCTCCTGTCGCTGCGCTCCGGGCCCTGCAGCCGTTGCTCCCTTTATCTCTGCCCACCCCCACCCCCCATCGCGCCTTCTCCCTCCTCCCCTTCTCCCACTCTCTACTCTTCCCTAGAGACCCGAATCTCCTGCTTCCTGCCTTTCTACAGCCCCCAAGCCTCAGGCGGGGTGCTGGGGCTTCATCCCTGGCAACTTTTCTAGGGTGGCCCCCTCATCTGGCCTCCCCACCCCTTTCTAGGTCTCGCCTTATGCCTAGTCTCAGCCTCTTTTCTCTCCTACTGCCACATCTCTCCCCACCAGCCTCCTCTCTCCTTCTCCCTCTCCTTTCACTCCTTTTGTCACTCACTCAGTCCCAACACATTAGTAGTGGCCAGGACAGCTGCCATGCTCTGAGGACATTGAGAGTCTATCCTGGCTATTCCTGGTGGGCCCCTTCCACTTCCCCTCCGACTATCCTCCCAGTCCTTCCCCATCCCCTGTCATCCCAGTCTGCCACCCACCCTCACAAGCACTCCTATCCTGGCTCTCCCGGAGCCAGGTAGAAGGGTTAAGGCAGGCTTGTGTACCATACAAGGCTGAAATCCACTCCAAGAAAAGTGCACCTTTTTCTAACTTGTGCAAAGATGTTGATGTCCCCAGGTGGCCTGGAGTCTTTGGATACCCATGAGACTTCCTGGCTCTGGAGAGGAAGGCTAAGGAGGGATGCTAGCTGAAAATGAGGCCCTGGGCCAGGAGCCCACCTTCTGCAGCTATGCAGCACCTGGTGGCTACTATCAGGACTGGTATTCTCAAGTCCTCTCTCTTGCTGCTTGAGCCCAGGAGTTGAGGAGGCCTGGGAGGGGGCAGGTCTCCTGCAGGGTCTCTGATCCTGGGGTACCTGATGGAGGATGGCTGGAAAATCCTACTCCTGGGGATCTGCAGGGCCCTGTCCACCCTCATTTGGGGTAACTGCTGGAGTGTTCATCTTTGCTGGTGGAGGGTGCAAAGGAGCCAGGGAGGAATGTGGGAGGCAGAGTTCAGGGAGGGGGGAAGACAGGCATTCCCCAGAGGATGCTAGAGGGACACAGATGGGGGCTTCAGGATGTGGACATGGAACTTGGTGGGAGCAAAGATAAGAGATTGGGATGTTCCCTGGAGACCAAATTCAGGGCTCTGCAGGAGGGGAGGCCTTAAGGGTGGGGTCAAATCCCAATCCTCCTCATTCCCTCTTCCTGCTTCCCCAAGCTGCTATCAACAGAAAGCAAGGAGCAGGAGGTAAGAGCTGGGAGAGCTGGGAGGCATTGAAGTTCACCCAATTAATGCTCTCAGCGGGAGGCTGAGGCAGAAGGGACAGATACTCAGAGAGGGGCTGTACCCAGACATCCCAGCTCTGAGCTGGCCAAGGATGGACAGCACAGGCTTTGTGCCCCAGCCTTACGGAGGACTCAGCTGCTGAAGGGATGGGGCACCAGGGAATGTTTGTGTGTCAGGGGAGTCCTCCACCCCACCTGGGTCTTTTTTTTTTTTTTTGAGACAGAGTCTCGCTTTGTTGCCTAGGCTAGAGTGAGTGCCATGGCGTCAGCCTAGCTCACAGCAACCTCAAACTCCTGGGCTCAAGCGATTCTGCTGCCTCAGCCTCCCGAGTAGCTGGGACTACAGGCATGAGCCACCATGCCCGGCTAATTTTTTCTATATATATTAGTTGGCCAATTAGTTTCTTTCTATTTATAGTAGAGACGGGGTCTCGCTCTTGCTCAGGCTGGTTTCGAACTCCCGACCTCGAGCAATCCACCCGCCTCGGCCTCCCAGAGAGCTAGGATTACAGGCGTGAGCCACCTCGCCCGGCCTCCACCTGGGTCTTGACCTTCTCCATCCCCTCCTGCTGCCAGGAAGGCCAGTGGGAGAGTCCTTGGCAGTTTCCCCTTCATCTCCCTCCTACCCAGCTGGGTGCTGGTCCCATGGGGTTCTGCAACCAGCCTGCCCAGAATGGAAGGAGGGGAAGGTGAAATCATTCAGGCCCAGACTGGCTGGTGACACCCACTCCCTAGCTGCAGATGGGTGTGGGGGCAGAGCCTGGCTCCTGGGTCTAGGGAAACCTAAAAGGTCCATGCTGACAATGACTGTCCTCAACTCCTTCATTGTACGGATGAGGAAACTGAGACCCAGACACCTATGCCTTTGTCAAGGTCACATTTCCAGTTCCTAAAGCCATCTTGCTGACTCTTCCCAGTGGCCATAGATCCTCCTGGAGGGAGGACAGCTCAGCCAAGGGCAGACAGCAGATCTCCCATTGTCCCTTGCCTGCTCTCCAAAGCACACGGTGGGGAGATGGGCTGTGGGCTCTGAAGGCAGTTTGTCTTGGTTCTGGGTTCAATTCCTTGCTCCCCGCTTCCTAGTTGTGTGACTTTGAGGGAAGTTACATAACCTCTGGGGCCCACAGAAGGCTCTGCTGAGGCTTGAGGCTTTTAGCCACAGCTCTGGCCAGCCTCTACTTGGCCTGGCTTTGGGGCCAGGAGCCCTGGATTCAAATCCTGGCTTTGGGCCAGGCGTGGTGGCTCACACCTGTAATCCTAGCACTCTGGGAGGCCGAGGCGGGTGGATTGCTCAAGGTCAGGAGTTCAAAACCAGCCTGAGCAAGAGCGAGACCCCGTCTCTACTATAAATAGAAAGAAATTAATTGGCCAACTAATATATATATATAGAAAAATTAGCCGGGCATGGTGGCGCATGCCTGTAGTCTCAGCTACTCAGGAGGCTGAGGCAAGAGGATCACTTGAGCCCAGGAGTTTGAGGTTGCTGTGAGCTAGGCTGCAGCCACAGCACTCACTCTAGCCTGGGTAACAAAGCGAGACTCTATCTCAAAAAAAAACAAAAAAAAAAAACAAATCCTGGCTTTGTCAACAATTAAGTGGGTGACCTCATCAAGGCTTCTCCTCAGAGCCCCAGTTTGTTCATTTGTAAAATAGATGAAAATCTGAGGGTATTGGGATCAAATGCAACAGGTGCCATGGGCTCTAGAGCTCATTTAAGTGAGAAGCAGAATTCATACCCTACCTAGAGTTCCATCCATTAGTTCCCTGACCCAACCCTAAGGCACGGGGGGGGGGGGTGTTGGAAGGAAGCAGGGAGGAGAGAGGAGAAGGAGGACCCTGCATTGACTGTCCCAATACTTTTCCATAGCACCACAAACATTTTCAGGGGTTTCTTACTGAATCTTCCCAACAACCCTGTGAGACAGAGAAGGCAGGGATCAATAGCCTCAGTCTACAGGTGAGAAAATTGAGGCTCAGGGATCCTGTGATTAGGTCCTAGGTATTCTGATGTATGGTCCAGGGCTCTTCCCAAAGGAACAGCTGCCTGGCTTTGCACCGCTGGACCACTGGGGACTGCCCAGGTCCAAGTCTGACTGTTGCCCTGCCTCACTGGGCTAGGGCAATAATCCGGGCCACCCTTCCACACTTATATGTCCACTAGGGGCTTGAAAACACAGGAACCCCTGAAGGACAGACAGTGTGGGGGGTCCCAAGGGTCTTGGGAGGATCCACCTGTATGAAGGTGGGGGTATCAGTAACTAGGCCAAATAGGAAACTGGGAAAAACTATGCAAGTGCCAGGGGCTCTCATCACTGCTACCATCCTCAGCCCCATCACGGCCGTGGGCCTCTGCCACCTGCCTCAGAATCCAGGCTCACTCTGTCAGTGGCTGAGAGGTGGCTTCTATGGCTCACCAGTCCTCTGAAAGGTAGGGAGAGGGAGGAAGAGTGGAGAGGGGTGTGTTTGGAGCAGCAGGGAGTAGGGGTATGAAAATGCTTTGTACACCACTCAACACCACTCAAGGAATTATTATTCAGGCAAAGGGGCTGGGAACTGGGCTCAGAGAAAAAGTCTTCCCCTTGGAAGGCCCTGGCAGGCAGTGGGACTTCCGACCAATGTCCCTCCTGGGAATGGAGGAAAGGGGCCTATTGAAAGAGGCTCACAGCTTCCCTGGCTGGGAGAGAACCAGGGTGATGATAGATGCTGAAAATGCTCTGGGAGTTAGAGAGGAACCCAACAAAGCTTCTGCCTATGGTTAAAGAAGTTTTGGCTGGTCTGATGGTGGTAGGGTATCAGAACTTATTAACATTAATGTCACTAAAGCTGGTATACAATCCCACTGCTAAATTTGACTGGCTTTACAAAAAAAGTTTTGCCCTGCATAATGGTATCTGGTCCAGAGGGTATGTGGAGATTGAAATCCAGATATGAGCCCTGCTGTGGGGGCGTGTCCACCCCACCTAGAGGATGGCAAAGGTGCCATCAGGGCTAGCAGTACCTCTGGCCCATGTTGGTGGGCCTTTACCCAGGAGAAGTGTGGGACTGGTGGTATTTAACAGGATGCGCAAGATTTTTCAGGGTCTCACTCTGTCACCCAGGCTGGAGTACAGTGGCATGATCGTAGCTCTCTGTGACCTTGAATTCTTGTGCTCACGTGATCCTCCTGCCTCCTCTGCCTCTTGAGTCACTAGGACTACCTGAGTCACTGGGGCTATGGTCATGAGCCACCACTGGGGCTATGGTCATGAGCCACCACGCCTGCCTCCAGGACACCCAAGATTCTTACCAGCAGTTTCTTCCCAGCCCCGCCAGAACCCACCCACATATATCCTAAGCCAGTTTATGCTCGATAGTCAAGGATCCTGGAGCCTGCGGAGAGGGTCAGGCTAGCAGGGAGGGACGCTCAGAAGAATGAGGACGGAGATCACAAAGCAAGACACCAAGGAGGCAAGAAGGGCAGGCAGGTTCAGGAGCCTTTATTGAGGGCCCTCAGGGGAGGTGTCTGGGGCCATGGAGCCTAGTGCTGGACTCTCCGAATGGACTGCAGCTGTCCTGTGTGGGCCTGCGTGCCAAACTCATTGTAGGTGCGGAACTCCCCGCTGTGCCGGTCCCGCTCCAACACGTACTGGTAGCCTCGGTAGCCCGGGTACTGGTAGGCCACCCACCTAGGCCAGCAAGGGCACAGGGGTGATGAGCAGGCCCTGCCCCCACCCGCACCTATGTCCTCATTAGTAGCCCCTTTCTCAGCACCCAGCTCCAGCTCCAAAACCATTACTTCAACTTCCCCTCTGTGGGTGTCGGCCTTGCCTACTGCTCCTAATCTTCCTGTCACCTTCCTTATCTTGTCTCCTATTCCCACCCTTCATTGCCCCCTTGCCCACGTTTTCAATTCTTTCCTCTATCCCCAAATTGTTTCCCTGCCTCCCATTCTATCACTTTCTCCCTTTCTCCCTCCCAGTCTGTCTCTGTCATCTCACTTCCCCTTGCCTCCATGTCCCCAGTATCTCTCTTCATCATGTCCCTTAGCACCCCTCCATCACTTCTCTCCACCCTCCTCCTTGGTCCCCACTACTTCCCCTGCTCTTCTCATCACCCCTGTTCCAGTCCCAGGACTCACGCTCCAGAGCTGACTTTGAGGGAACCCACATCCTTGCTGGCCCAGCCCATGGAAGGCAGGGAAGGGTAGTCATCACTGAGTTCAAATTTGCATCCCTGGAAGTTGTCACCCTCAAACAGTGTCACACGGCTGTCACTGTGGTTCTGAGGCACAGGAAGGTGAGGGTGGAGGGGTCAGGCACTCCAAAGGGGTGTTAATGGATACACACTCAGCCTCACTTCACTGTCCCACTGCCCAACACAGGCTGTACAGCCACTGAGGCCCCACAAGCACTTCCAGAATCATCCCATCAACTCCCTGGCAGTCTGGGAAGCTGAAATGCTCAAAGTCTCCCCTACTCAAGCCCTCCCATGGCTTTGGGCTGAGGTGGTGAGACTGAGGGTGCAGGGATTGCAGTCACCTTTTCAGGACAGGGCTAGAGGGTATCTTTTGACATGGGCCTGATTTGCAGGAGGAAAATTAGAGGTCCTTAGAGAAATCTGGCCCATTAACCAAGATAGTTTCCCTAAGTGCCTCAGTGACTACCCAATCCCCTGTCCAGTACCCTGGGCACCCCCTCTCACAGGGTGGGACCCAGCTAAGGGGTACTGGATGGCAGAATCAGAACAGACATGTCAGGGCATCAGTATTGGTTGCATCTTGTCTTCCCTAGCCCCAGAGACTTCCTCCTAAAGCCTTCCCCAGCCTCTTGGAATGGAGAAGCTGGGCCGGCCTGGCTGCTTTGCCCTCCAACCCCCAGCCCAAGTATCTAAGTCAGCACAAATGGAAAATGAGATCCTCCCCTCCAGTGTATTTGATTCGTTACCAACTCCCCCCACATAACACACAAACACACTGAGACTGACCCTTTCTCAGCCTTGCTCCCCGGACTGAGTTCTAGTCTCATCTCCATGTTAACCCTTGTGACCCTAGACAAGCCACTGTATCCCTCTGAAGCCCTTTATAACATCTGCTTACGGGGCTGTTAGCAGTTGCCCTGACCTCACAGGGCTGTGTGATGACAGAGGTGCTCACTCACACATGTGGACGACTGGATCTGAGTGGCCGGTGGGCACGCAGGACTGGCATAGTGTGGGCGCTGTCCGTGGTGCTGGTTCCTGGGCTCCTGCCCTATGCCCACAATCCCAACTTTCGGAGATCCCCTGCTTCTGGGAGGTAATGCCACTACCACCCTCCTAGGAGTTTGTTACTGACCCACATGCAGTGGTTGGGGGGCCTTTCCAAGGCACAATGGTGGGGCCAGGGCCTGGAGCTAGGAGGCAGAGGAGGAGGAGGAGTAGGCGGCTCACCGCGCAGAGCACTGGCCGGAAGGACAGCAGCTGGTTGCTGTGGTGGCCACAGCTGCCACTCCAGGCGCTCCAGCGAGGATAGTCCCCCTTCTCTAGAATGAACTGCTGTCCCTGGAAGTCGGGATACTCAAAGGCCACCCAGCTGGAAAAGGAGAAAGCTGGGAGGTATCTATCTGCCCCAGGTTCACTCCCTTTTCCTCCCTCTTTGCTTGCTGTGTTTGAAAAGACTGAGAAACCCAATCTTTTTCTCCAACCCCAGGCCCTTCTTGACACACTCATTGCATGGCAATCCAACCCTTCTAGTGGCTAAATACCCCAACTCTACTGCTATCCTGGGTCTGAGGAGCTCAGGCTTTCTGCTCGGGGCCCTAACTTGGAAAGAATTTTCCAGGTTACAAAGACCACTCGAAGAAGATCACCTAACAAGTACCCCTACCTCAAGGATTTAGGAGCCTGCAAAGGGAAGCATCTGGGACTCCTGCCTGCTATGGCAGCTGTGGGGACCTCAGGTCTCCTCAGGGCCACAGGCTGGGCTCTAGGACACCAGGGTGGGGCCAGTGGGTGGGGTTTGGCTTTTTTTGTTTAGCAAATTGTAGAGCCATCTAACTTCACACAGAAAAAACTTTGGGAAGGACTTAACTACGCTGGAAATCCCTTTAGGGGTCCCATTGGGACTGCAGGGATCTCTTCTCGCCTTTGTCTCCTTAGCTCTGGAGGAGACATTCTTTCCCATCATTGGTCTTTGCAAGGGGTGGGGAGTTTAGGGGAGGCCTAGGGGTTTCCCATTTTGGCGTTTCTCTCTCAGGGCTCACAGGGATGGGAGCTGAGGTCCCAGGCTCTAAACTTGGGGTGGGCAAGCCCAATGTCGCTGGAGCCAGCCCAGCCGCGGCCAGGAGACCACTCACACGCCGTTTTCCACCTTGACCGAGCGCACCCTGCGCAGGCCTCCGCGCTCGCAGACGTTCGCACAATCACTCAGCAGCCGACAGCGACGGCCCTGGAAGTCCTCCTCGTCCCAGAGCGTGAGGCTGGCGGGCGCTGGGCCCGGCGCGGGGGCGCTACTCATTCCGCTGGGGACAGGAAGGTCGCGACCACATGCTTAGCGTCTCGAGAGCCCCCTTTCTAGCCAAGGCCTGCCCAACCCGGGTAGGGGGTGAAGGACCCGGGAGCTGGACCCGGCCTGGCTGCCAGGGGCTGCCCCTCAGCTCGCCCTCCCCCGCCCGGCACCGGGTACTCACCAGGTGGGTGAGCGTGGCACGCAAGGAAAACGGAGAGGCTGCGCGCGGGCCTGGCGTGCGGGGCTTTATACCCAGGCCTCGCCCCCCACCCCGCACCCTCTCCAGCAGGGGTGGGGGAGCTGAGTCAGCAGGCAGGCTGCAGCCGGCTCTGGTCTCCCTAGGGAGCTGAGGCCTTTCCCACAGCCGGCGATCTGGCCCCAGCCCGCGGGGATTACAAGAGAAAGTGCTGAGGCGCACAGCCCGCGCCAGCCGCAGGCCCGGCTGACTCCGCGCTTTCTTTCTTTCGAGCCTGAGCCAGGCAGGGTGCACCCGGCCTCCGGGCAGAACGCGCCCTCCCTGGCCCGGACTCTCCGGGACGGAGGTACCAGGCTTCCCTGAGGCCTCCGGCTAGGGCTGCGCGTTCCTGACTTGAGGCGCAGATGTTCCCAAAGTCTGAACTGCATCTCTTCTTCAGCTCTAGATCTTTTGGGAGACTTTAGGGCGGAGGTAGAGAAGGCTCTTCGCAAACGACTCTCCTCAAGCCCCTCAGTTCTCTTTCCCCTCGAGGATCGGTCCATCGCGCCCCTTTCCTCACAAGCTTGCGTTTCCAGATCCTGCGCCGCGCTCCCCGAGTTTTCTCCGGCCCACGGGCGGTGACCAGGACTCGCCACGAGGCGGCACTGGGAGCTGCCAACAAGAACGCCCGAAGGAGCGCGCGGGATTACAAAGCGTTTAGGAATAATAGTGACCAAGGTAGGTGGCAAGAACGTTTCCACCTTAGTTCGGAGGGACCAGTGACGCGGCTGAGTCCCCCACAGAGCTCCAGAGGCTAGGGCCTCGGTCCGGACGTCTGAGCCACTGAGGATGAAGCGCTTAGTTCAGGCTGGGCTCTCTGCTCAGGCTTTCATTTCACAAGCATGATCTCAACTTATTCTAACACCGACCTGGTGAGGTAGGCGCTGTTATTGTCTTGCATTTCCCAGATGAAGAAGCGGAGGCCCAGAGGGTTGCAGTTGGTGGTCCCAGCAGCGTCACAGCTGAGAAGCCAGTCCAGCTGAGATGTGAACCTGGCCTTCTGTTCATGGTCCTAGTCTCTTCCCCCCACAATCCCAGTGCTACCTGTGGTGGTTGGGGGGGGAGATGGGGAGCAGAGGGGGAAAAGCTTGGAGCCCCAAGAGGGTAGCTCCAGGGAGGAAATTTCTTCACCTCTTGTAGCAGAATTTCCTAATCATGGTAGATGTCAATGAGACACAAAGGCTTCTTGCAAAATGGCGAGTTTTAATGGGGGCAGGGTGGTTATTCCAGCAGAAGTGTGAGGGGCGAGTGAGAAGGGAACCAATATTTTGTTGCTCCCATGAGCCAAATGCTTCCCTTCATGGGCTTTCACAACAGCCCAGTGGGTTAGGCTTGTGTGTACAGATGTGGAAGCAGGCTCAAAGAGGGGCAGGTCTTGTCCAGACTCAGAACTAGCCAGTTTTGGAGCAAGAATAGAGCTCAGACCTTTGGGATCCAAAGCCAGTGCTCTACACTACCCATCCAAGCTCCTGTGCCAAAAGGGGCTCCCAGGCCAGCTGTGGCCACCCCAGCTCCTCGAAGCCCAGCCACACTGGCCTTCTAGCCTCCCTCCTTCCCACCGTGCTGTGCGCTTCCCACCTCAGGAACTTTGCATTTGCTGTTCCAGTTGCCTGGAGTGTCTTAGTCACGAGATCATGGTATGGCTGGCTCTTGTGTCACCTCCTTGGTGGCAGGCACTCTTCCATCCATCACATCAGCTTATTTTCTTTATAGCATTTATCACTCTGTAAAGTCACCTTTTTCATCTCGTGTATATGGGTGTACCAATGTCCCCCTTACTAGAGTGTCAGCTCCATTTAAAGGGGCAGGGACTGTGTCTGTCTTGTTCTCAGCCGTTATCCTCAAACCTAGCACAGTGCTGGGTACATAGTAGGCACTCAATAAAACTTCTTGAACTAGTGAGTGAACAGGTGGTTGGGTGTGGGTCAATCGTCCATGGGGAAAGGAGTGTAGGGGAATTTCTCCAGCGGGGGTGGGAGGCGACGGTTTGCCATTCCCATCCCTGAAGTTCTGGGCTGCTGAGAGCAGGTGCTGGGGACAGGCAGAGCCTCCCCTGGACCTCTCTTTTCCCTGGTGAGGAGCTGCTGTTGGGCTCACAGTGTGCATGAAGGTGAACGTCAAAAGTACAGGGCCCTGGAACTGGGCCCTAGAGTCCAAGTTAGGATATGAGTCAGAGATGGGACAAGGGCAGCCAGGTTTGGTTGGGGGAGGTGTCGGAACCATGCCCAGTCCCCTGATTCCCTAGCCTAGAGGGAGTTTGAACAAACACAAATAGGGTATAATCCCCCAAAACCACAAGGGGGGATCGAAACTACAGAGTAGGGCAAGAGCCATTCTGGGGCCCTTGGTGTCCTGGCCTTTGCTCTCGGTTTCATCTGTGAGGCTGTGGCAGGGGTGAGGGGTGAGGAATCAGGTCCAGCCTTCCCGCGCTCCCCCATCTCCATCTGACAATTCTGGATTCGGCCACGAGGGGGCGGGGCAGGCCGCGCTGTCCCGAAAGCTGGAGCGGCTGGGCGGGGAGGAAGGGGAGGTTGAGGTCGGGAGGGGCTGCGGGTGGCGAGTGCGTCAGGCTGTGCGTCTGCGCTGTCCCTGACGCGGGCGCCTGTGTTAGTCCGGAGGGTGCCGAGGTGTCTGTCAGAGACTGGATGCTGTGTGTGCACGGGGCTGAAGCTGGGGTCTGGGCATGTTGCCTGGGACAGGCTCCACGTGTTGGTCAGATGACAGTATTCCCTAGGAGGGGTGCACTAGTGTGAGTTTTCCAGGCTTTGGGCAGGGAGGGAGTGGTTGTACAGCTGAGATCCAGGTTAGAATTAAGAGTGTCGCTGTGATTTGGGGTGGAGACCCTCTATGTGACAAGGGCCTCCAATCCTCTTCCAGCCAGCAGTTCTAAACTTGGCATCAGCCAGCCTATTCCTTCTGTGTACCTTGGTTTCCTCATCAGGAAAATGGTATGTGGGTCCCACCAGCCAGACCCACAGTTTTTAGTTCTAGCTATCTGTCACCAGCTGTCTCAGAAATGGGCACAGCCACCACCACCACCAATGCCACTGGCCGAGAAGATCTCTAGGCTTCTGGGGGGGCGGGGCCCACATCCCCCCAGACCCCTCCCTGGTTTTCGGCCTCATAGTCACCAAGAAACTGAAGAAAGAGCCACTGAGGGGGAGGGGCTCTCAGGCACCCTGCCTGGTGTGCCAGAATGAGACAGTGGGATCACTGTCCCTCTTCTGTACTATCAACCCTCTCCCTCCTGGTCCCCTCCTTTCCCCACCAGGCTGGTCCAGCTCTCCCACCCCAGCTTTCCCCTCTGGTCACCTCCCTCCCCCCCCAGCAGCTGTTCCTGTTTGTTTTCCCAGATCAGCTGCACTCAGAGCTTCCTGAAGGATGGATGCCCAGGTGGCTTTGTTTGCCAGCTTGGTGTGGTCACCCCTACCCCCTCCACATGCACAGCCTGGCCTTTGGGCACAGAGAGTTAGGTAGACAAAGACCCAGCGTCCCCAGTCTGTATCTCAGAGTCCTCAAGATTTCATAGGGATCTCATCACCCAGGGGGCACCCCAACCCTGACCACATCTAGTTCTTATCTCATATAGGGACCTTTGGATCCCACAGGGAAATCCTCAGGACCTCATCCCCACCCTCACCCTTTCTCCCATCTCCTGCCCCCAATTCTACCCAAACACCCATCCTATATGGACGCATAAGAACTCATGGAGAAATCCTCAGACTCAAGCCAGGGTCCCCTCAGTGAGGCCCTCAGATCCTAGCCAGACCCCCATTCCATGTGGAGACACATAGGTCCTGCAAAGAAACCCTCAACCCCAATGCTGAGCTCCCACCCAGGTCTCCATCTCAGGTAAAGGCCCTGAGAATCGCCAGAGAAGTGGCACCTCCCTCACATAGAGGCCATCCCACAAACAGCCTGACTTCTCAGTACTGCTGCGCAGCCCAGCGGGGCTGGTGGCCAATGTCCTCTCCTCAAGTCGGCCTGCTCCCAGCCCTCACCCCTCATTTCACTGGGAAATCATCCAGGGCTTCGGTGGCTAAAGATGCAAATTCTGTGAATGGTGCCCTCCTCCACCAGCTACCATCACCAGCAGCCTCTCCTTTCCAGCCCTGCTGCCCCAGTCCCACCCCTACCCCAGGTCTGCAGGCCCAGGGGCAGAGCACCTTCCCTGGGGCTGCGCAGGGCTGGTCTCCTGGGAGACAGAGATAACGGTGCAACCCAGAGACCAGCTCAGCTCAGGCAGGGGCAGGAGCCCCACCCACACGGACCCATTGTCCCATCCCACTGGAAACAGAGCCCCTCTCTGGCCCTCTGTGGGGTTGGAGAACTGGCCACCATCCAGGGACATGGGAGGTAGCTTTCAGCACCACTCACTCACGGAGACACAAAGCCACAGGGCTCGCACAGTGTGGCAGGGAGAAGGCACACACTTGCACATGTTTGTCAGATGGAGACAGAGCCATCCACAGTTACTGGCACATGGATGTGATCCCATGAGCTTTACACAAGAACCCTGTTGTTCTAGGATTCAATGACACCTCAGTGTCATACTCACTTACAGGCAGACACTTGCTCACTCACTTATTCCTCAAATATTTAATAAGATATACTGTGTCCAGGGACTATGCTGGGTGTTGGACTCACACATGAATACACACCCTTGTGCACTTTCACGTGTGTACATACCCACTCCACGGCCACCCAGAGAGGCATCATCTCAGCCACCCACCCACGATCATACAGACACTGAAGGGTTAAGAGAGTGGGTTCTGTAGTCACTGCTGTTGCCTAGGTTCAAGTCCAAGCTCCACTTGGATTTGCTTATAAGTTGGATGAACTTGTACCTTACTTCTCAGTTTTTCCTTTCTGTAAGTGGGAATAATTTTCTTTAAGACTGTTGTAAATATTTAAATGCATGTACACGCAGAACTGGCCTGCAGTATGCACACAATAAATGTTAGCTGTTGTGGTTGTGGTTCTGACTGTGTAGGATGGTTCTCCCCACCACCTCTGAGGCCCGGCTGGGTAGGGGGCAGTGGTCAGCAAGCATGGCTCTGGGATCTGAATTCCCCGTCCCACCCTGGCCCCGTGGAAGCCAGCCCAGTACTTAAGGCGCCTTCCTGGCTCATCCCATTTGAGCTACTCAGTTCATGACCTCAGTTTGGGAAGGTTGCTCAGGCCCCTGCTCTCCAGGAAAGAACACTTGGGAGTAAAACCCAGAACCTGGCTCCTGGTCTCTGCGCTCTTCCTGGCTCCATCTGTGGCTTTTGGCCAGTCACTGCCCCATTGTGGGTCCTCAGTTTTTTTTACTTGTAAACTAAGCAGGCTGCTGATTCTGGAGGGGCCTCCCAGCCCTGACTACAGTGATCCTGTGATGCTTCAGGAAGGTTCCCTCTCCTCCCCAACCAGCCTCTGCCTGCCCCACCCACCCACCCACCTGGCCTGGCCAGAGTGAGGGGGCAGCTGCTGCGGTCTCCATGGGGACTAATCTCCAAGAAGGTCAGCGAGGCTCTGGTACTGCCTTGGCCGGATGGGGATTAGCACCTGGGTGTGAGCCCCCGTCCCCAGTGCTTGTACTCCCAGGTCCTACCAGGCTCACAAAGACCCTGGGTGGCCTCCAAGCCCAGAAGTTCCAAGGCTGAGGCAGAATCAGCAGGGTGGGTGGGGGCAGGGCAGCTGCCACAGCTGCTGGCTTATCCAGCTGTGGCCAAGAGGGAAATGGGAGAGATGGAGTCAGAGCTATGCCTCTCACTGCTCACGGCCACCAGTGTCCAGCCAAGGCCTGAGTCTTGCCCCTCCTCACCTCTGGCCTTGAATGGAAGGAAATGGGTTCCAGAGATAGAGGCATCCCCCTGTCCCCTGCCCCTAGCCCTTGCTGTGGCCATTTGCAGCCCACCTGGAAACTACCGCTTTACCATCTGTTGGGGGTACTTTCCCCACTCCAATGTGAGGTGGGGTGGGTGCTGTCTTCACAGCTTCACCTTTCCTCTATATACGCTGTGCCTTCTACCTTTGGCTACCCCACCTCTAACCCAGGTCTACCAATCCTCCATCTCTGCAGTGTACATCTCTTGTTATCTCACACCGCCTCTGTCTCGCTCTCTGTTCCTCTTCTCTGGTTTCTCTCTGATTGTCTCTGCCTCTGGTCTCGCTCTCACTGTATTGCTGTCAGGGGCATCTACAGCACCCTAGGTCTCAATGGTTCTCATACTGCTCTGGGCGGCACCCTCTGTCCTTCCACCTATGTCCTCTGGTCTCTTTCTCATCATTCTCCTCCCATTTCTCTCAGGCTGTTTCCTAGTCCCACCACTGCAGCTCTCCAACTGTTCAGGCCCTTTTCCACTCCCCCCACTACCTGTTCCCTCCCCCACAGGGTGGTGACAGGGACGACAGGAAGCAGGCTCCAGCTTCTAGCAGGAGGGGGAAGGGCCTGCCTCGCACACCAGCTGCTGAGCAACCCCCCCTTGCAGCAGCACCTGCAGGCCTGCCAGGCGCCTGGGGACTCCGCCCCCAGCCTGCCAGGGGAGGAGGGACCTGGCTGAGAGGCCTCATCCCTGGTAATGGCCGGGAAATTCGGGTCTTCCCGATGGGTGGGGGTGGAGGTCTGGGGAAATTAGGCCTTGGGGGAAGGGCAGGGGCTCTCAGTCAATGGCACAGATCCCAGCCCACTGAGTGGCCTTATTCTTCTCACCACTCTCTCCCTAAGGACCCCTCTGAGTATGTGCTTTTGGGGGGGGTGTCACTCTAGGGAGAGATCCCTTTGTTGTGCATCCCAGGATCTGGAGTCCCAGCTAGAGGGGAGCTCTAGCCCACTGCCATTATTAGGGGAGGGGAGAGGAAGTCTTCAAAGACTCAGGGAAGGTATGCCAGTGCCATGCCAGGCCTCTGACAGGTAACTCGTTCACTGTCAGGCAAGGAGCAAAGGGCTGGGCCCAGGACAGAAGCCTGGTCAAGGAGGCCAAGATGGGGGCTGCACACACCCAGGCCTGGGACACAAGCACCTTCCCCCTGCCCTGGGGCTGCTCCACACAGAGCCCACCTGCAGGCCACCCTCTCCCCAGACCTGCCTGGGATCTGTCAAAGCCATCTCATCCCCTCCCCCCTCCTCTCTCTGTGCCAAGGACGCAGCAGATCCTGCGGGGCCTCTGGGTAGTTGGGTGAGGGGGGTAGTTGGGTGAGGGGGGTAGTTGGGTGAGGGGGGTAGTTGGGAGTGGAATAGGTGGTGGTAGAGGGGACAAGCCAGCACCTTCAAGGACATCCAATTTGGAGTGACTCTAACCCTGGTCCCCATCTCCCTGGGGGTTGCTTCTGTCTGAGCGGAGGGCCACTTAGACCCACCAACCCCAGTGGACTGAAACATAGGACTGAGGACATAGGATTATGAAGTTTGGGAAAGGTGACCCTGCCCCGCCTGGGACCCTGTCAGGCAAGGCCTGCCAGACTGTCCTTTCAATCAGTCTGTCTCAGACGTGGTGAGACTGGAAGAGAGACCAGAGAGGTGGCAGAGAGTGAAATCTCAGGATGTCAGCAGCACCAAAGAAATCTGAGGAGTGGATCCGAGTCTCCATGTGGCTCTCAGCTCCCCTCACCCAGATTTTCCACACCTCACAGCTTCAGCTGCAGGGCCACCCCCTTGAGGGCCTCCATCCTTCGGGTCAAGGGGTTCAAAAGTGTGGCTATGAGCCCAGGAGCCGGGATACAGAGGTGAGGTGGGCAAAGGCCACCCCCTGTGAGAGACCAGACCAGCCCTTTCATTGTGCAAATGAGAAAACCAAAAGGCCAGGGAAATGACTTGCCCAAGGCCACGGAAGTCGCCGGGACGGAGCCGGACTAGAATCCTGGTTTCTACCTCCAGAAGGGCTTCCGTTCTGGGCCACAGCCCCCTCTGCCACCCGGTGGAGCCTGCTCAGCCCGTACTACCCGGAACGGAGCCCGGCAGCCCAGAAGCTGCGGGCAGGGCAAGGCAGGGCGGGCGGGGCCGGATGGGAGCCGGATCTCCACTGGAGCGGCGCACGGCCTCCCGACCCGTATGGTGGCGGCGGCGGCGGCGGCGGCAGGTGTCTGCGTGGCGATCGGGCCGGGCCCACGGGCGGATGCTGAGTGGCCGCCCCTGCCTCACGCGAGCCGAACGAACAAAACGCTCAGGTCCGGTTTGTGCGAGGGGCTCGTCGCGGGGCGGGAGCGGAGGGCCCGGGGCCTGGCGGTGGCCCTCGGAGATCTGGTTCTGGTCTTCCGCGAGCTCAGCGGCCGCACGGCGCTCGGCTAGCCACTTCCCTCTCCTGAGCGCATCTGCTGCTGACACGTCGGCGGTCGCGGCGGCCACCACAGGTGCACACCTGGCCTGCCCCTCCCTTCCCAGCCGCCCTCCACCCGGCTCTCCCAGCCCCTGCGCCCTGCCCTGCCCCGCTTGGCTTCGTCCCCAGCCCACGCCCTGGAGCTTGTGCCCGAGCCTGGGTCAGTGTGCTCTTATACCTCCTGTTCAGTCCCCGCCCCTAGACACACACACACACACACACACACACACAACTCACACACACTCACACTCACACCTGTCCCGGCGCCCGTTTGCTCGGGGCAAATATTGACTCATGGAGGCGGAGCGCCCCCCCCCTCCCGTCCCCTGCCCTGGGCTCTGAGACCGGAGCTCCTCGGAGGCCTTGGCGGAGGGGGTGAAGGGGAGGGTGCCGGGGACCTGGGCGCCTCTGGAACAACACCAGATGTCACTTTTCCACCCACCTGCTTCTGGGAGGGAGGAGCCAGGGGCAGAGGACAGAGGATCCAGCGGGGGTGGGGGGGTAGTAGAGGGAATAGAGAGGTGGGTATCCCAGGGAAGGCAGGACATCCCCTAATCTGGGGGTTGAGGCACAATACGGGGCGCTTAGTAGGGTCTGTGGCCCGCTGTCTAGCGGTGACCTCCACCACTCCACAACGCGTAGTTCCTGGCCCTCGGCGGCGTGCCTCAGTTCTTCTTGCTTCCCAACCTCTTAGCAGAGCTCCAGGAGGCAGGCAAACGCTAAAAGGCTGGCCCTCGGGTTGCCGAGCCTAGGAGCAAACGCATCGGGTAAAAGGGAGGGGTAGCCACCCCACCCCGTGGCCACTTGCTTCTCTAACCAGGCCTGGCGCCCGGTTCCCGTCCACCAAGCTACGCTGGGCAAAGGCCAGCCAGACCCCGCCCCGAGCGCCCTCCGCTGGCCAGACCGGGATCCGCGCCTGGCAGCGAGCGGGGCCCGCACTCTGGCCCGGCTGGGCTGCGGCTGCGGTGTGCAGTGGAAGGGTGCATCCTCCCCGGCCCTCAGTCCCTGCCGTGTGGCTGCGGTCCATTCCAGCCGCCCCCACCATCTGTCCCTCTCAGAGCGCGCTCCCGTTTTCTTCCTCGTCGAGGAAATAAAGTCAAGCTAGATACAGAAAGAAAGCTAGATGCTTTACTGTCGGGGCAGTGGAGAGGGGGCCGGGGGAAGCCTAGGGCGGCATGTCGGAGGTGCTGGGCATGTTCATCTGCAAAGGGTCGGTAGGAGGTGGCATCACTGGGTCAAGTACCTCCACTCACTGCGTCGAAAGCAGCATGTCTGGGGTCAGAATCCTGGAAGACAGAAAGCCCCAGGTAGGAGTGCGCGCGAGGCTTGCCTGCAGTACCTCCCGCGCCTTCCGAGGGGCAGGTGACCCTGGGGCCCCCACCTGGGTATGCTAAGCGGCGGCAGAGCGATGACGCGCGGCCGGGAGGTGAGCACCACCTCCCCGTGGCTCGCCTCCACCAGGATGTTCTGGATCATGTTCTCCAGCAGCGCCTCCCGCAGGTTGGCGAAGGCTGGGAGCCTGAGAGGGGGACCAGGGCGCAGGCGTTAGCGCGGCCAAGACTCCGCGTGGGGTCTCTGCTCATCTTCTCTGTGCGGTCCAGTGTGCCACGTGGTCTAGTAGATTCTCATTTAACTGTCGCCTCCTTACACACACACACACACACACAAGCACAAGTACACGGACACCAAGGACACCGGCATCCTTGTTTCAATTTTACAGATGCTCAACGCATGGCTAAAAGAGAGTAAGTTGCTAAATGTCATGCTGCTGGTAGAAGTGGGATTGGAACCCAGGCAGTGTAGTCAGCACCCCAGGGCCGGGTGTGGAGAAAGGCAGTGAGATATGAGAGAGTGCAGAAGGGATTGCGTGTGGCCTAGGGATCCCAACAAGGCCACAAAGTGCTCTCAGAGCAGCCCAGGGGGAGGTGGCACAAGAAGAGATGGTGCTTCTCTTCTGGCTCTAGAAACCCATTTAAGAGCCTTTGAAGACTAGAACCACTTTCCTGGTAGCAGGTTGCTGATAAATGTCACAACCTAGCTCTTTGAGAAAAAAAAAAAAAAAAAGCTCAGGGTTGCTGTTCTACCAATTCTCCCACAGAGGCCTTAAGCCACCAAACAAGATGTCAGTGAACGCTGAGTTCAAAGGCGATGCATAGTCGACAGTGGCCAGCCTCAGCATACCCTTGCCTCCTAGGAACCTTCTGCACACTCCCCCTTCTGACCTTGGCACCTGGGCCTGGCTGCTCACCTGCTGATGGCCTCCTTCTCATCCTGTTCTTCCTCCTCCTTGAGCATGTCTTTCAGCTGCTGCTGCCATTGCCATTGCTGGGATGACTCTGAGGACTCCGGCGGCAGCGTGGGCTCAGTCTCCATAAAAATCACCTTCTCTTCCTTCTCCTCCCACTCCTCCTGCTCTATCTCCTTCTTGCCCAACTCCACCTTCTCTTCTATCTCCTCCTCTTCCTCCTCTTCTTCCTCTAACTCCTCTTCTTCCTCCTCACCCTTCTCTTCCTCTTCCTCCCCCTCCTTCTTCCCCAGCCTCGATCTCTCCTCCTCTGGTGTGTCCTCCTCCTGCTGCTTGTCTTTCTCTTCATCCCAGCTGCTGGTGGATGAAGACAGGATTGGCATTACATGCAGACTGTTCTTCTGGGACATGAACCTGGCTGACTGCTCACTCCAGAACTGGCAGAAGTATGGCACCTGCTCCACCAGGCTTTGGTTCACAGACTCATGGAAGTTCTTGTCCTCTAGGAGGCCCCTGGGTGGCAGGGAGGAGGAGAAGACCATTCCCAAGAGGCCCTGCAGCCCCCTGGGGAGCCCTGGCTTCAAGGCTAGGTGCTAGGTTGGGGGGTGTGCTAGGTGGAGGAAAGGAGCCCTTGGTTAGTTGCCCTTCCCATCCCTTCTTTTAAGGAAGGCTTCTTTGGGCCCCATGGAGTCTTAGAGGTGAACGTGATATGGTGCAGGCAGAGCCAGCAGGTCAGAATTACAGAGATGAAGGGCAGGAGCCCTGGAGAGACAGTGTGCTGGCTCCAGACCTCACCTACTGGCCATGGATCAGGGCACAACTCAGGACTCAGCCCTGAGGATCCCTCCAGCCAGTTCCATTTGAGCTGCACTGTCCTGGGGTTGGAGGGCCTGGGACCATCAGTGGAGAGATTTTGCAAGGAAGTTGTTTGTCAGGAAGGAAAGTACTAGAACTTAGGGGGCTTTGGCTGAATGAGCTGGAGGGATAGGAAGGTGGGGTGAGGGCCCAGGGTGTGGGGGCCGCCGGTGTGGGCCAGTACCTGATGATGGTAGTGAGACAATCAACTAGCAGCTGCTTCTTCTGCTTAGAGACAGGGCCCCACTTGTTGGGGGACTCTTCCTCAGAAGTCTCTGGCTCTTCTATGGGGGCCTTCCTTTTTGGCAGCTCCCTGGGGCAGGCCATGACATTCTGAGTGGCTGGGGCAAGCCACCTTGCTGGGGTTGGGGGCACAAGCAATGGTGGTAGCTGCCCAGTCATGAGGACATAGATGAATTTGAGGCTCCCCCCAGCCTTAACCCAATAGCACCACTGCATTTTGGGAACCAGCCCAACCTCAGGGTCAGTGCAAGAGTGAGAGAGGCCTAAGGTGGGGAAGGAAGGAACGAGAAGGGTGAGGAGAGGTGGGGAGGCCTAGGTGGGCTCCCCAAGGGGCTCTGGCTGCTCTGTCCCCCTCCTCATAATAGCCTAAGCAGTAACTGGGCATCCTGTGCCCAGCGGTGCCCAGTCAGTCCCACTGCCATTGCACATACTCCAGCCCCTCACCAGGTTTGGGTCTGGGCAGCCCCTGCCCTGGAGTGGGATTGGGGACAAAGAGAAGAGGAAGGAGACACCCGCCTCCCTGAGAGTTCACCAGTGCAAGAAGTGGCTGGAAAAGTCGGAGAAGAAGTTGGCCAGGAAGTAGTCGGTGGCGTGGGCTCGGGCGGTAAGGCCCAGGCAGAGCATGCCTGGCGGCGGCGGCTGCGGGCAGGGCCATAACGGCTGCTCCTGTGGGATCTGCAGTTTCCAGCTGACAGGCTCGTGGAGAGACTGCTGTTTCTTGATGGGGGGCAGTGTCTGGAAAGGGGAAGATGTTTGAGGATCCCTCTCCCATCACAAATGGGTCCCTAGCTCTCTACCCTAACCAGGCCTTTTGGGCCACATAGGAATATGGGCCACCCTCTGGCACTTTCATCCCTCTCTTCTGGGAGGCTGGACCAGGGTTTGAAGCAAGCAAGGACCTTTTCAAGTTATCCCGAGAAGATGTGCATGGGCTTGTGGCCTTACCTTGTACTTCCTCACAGGTACACAGGTTGTATCACATGTTCTTTTCTGTGGAAGCAGAGAGAACTTTGCTTAAGATGCAAGAGGCCTAGAGAGAGTCTCTGCCTCTGACCTCTGACCTCTCGCTGACCCACAGAGGGCCTGGAACCAATGCCAGGCTCTGCCACCCTTTTGGTCCTGCCCAACTCCCAGTCACACTCTCTCCCAGAACCTTCCCAAGGGAAGTGCTACCTGCAGACAAGGAAAATCTGGTACCCAAATGAAGAAAAGAGAAGGAGATACCATCCTTCATGTGCAGGTTGCTATGTGCCCTGGAGCTTGTGGTTCAGTGAGACGGGGAAACAGCCTTCCTTATGAAGACCTAATTCAGAAATCCCTTCTCCCAAGCCCCCAAGAAGTCATTTGTATTCACAGTGGGGCCAAAGCTTCAGAGGGCAGCATGCCTCCCTGGAGGTTCAGTGTGGTGGACACAGAGGTGATTGAGGAGTGAGAAAACCAGCATGGGGGGCTGTGAGGCAGGGGGGGACCAGGACGGAAGTGTCTCTGGGGCTCACTTGTAGGTCTCCTAGCCCCTACTTACTAACAGCTCAGATCAGTGAACACTTACTGGGGGGCCAGGCATCGTTCTAGGCCCTTTGCCTATATTAACTCATTTAATCCTCACAACAACGCTACCAAGCAGATATTTTACTGGCACTAAAAGTATTTTTAAAAACTTTCATTTTTAACTTTTCTAATATGGAAAACCCCGAACATATACAACAGGGGAGAGAAAGCTACAAAGAATCCCCGAATGCCTGTCACTGTAACCCCGACCCAGCAGTTATGTCTGGTCTCATCTATACCCCACCTCTGGATTATCTTGAAGCAGATCCCGGGTGTCATATTTCCCCCCTTTCACAGTTGAGGGAACTGAGAGATTAAATAACTTAACCAGGATCACAGAGCTAGAAATCATCAGGGCCAGGAAACAGACCCGGGGATCTGTTTCCAGAGCCTGAGCCTGACGCCTTCAGAAGGTGAGCTCTGTCTTGTTTCCCTGTGTCCCTGGTGCCCAGCACACAGTAGGCACTCATTAAACACTGGCTCCATGAAGCAGGGAGTGGCCAGCCAGCCTGCTCTACCCAGAGAGTCTCTTGGGATAGTTGTGAGGATGCTATGCTGAGTCCAGTGAATGGAATCTAATCTCTTAGGGCAGGCTGGCCAGTTCCACATGGAGGGCCACCTTGGCTCATCACCTTTGTCCCCTCTGGTGAGGCCTGTCAGAAATATCTGGGTGTCTGAAGCCAGCTCAGTCCTCCTCACCTTCACTATCCTGTCTGTGATGGTGAACTCCACTTCCTGCCGCACCTTCTCGTCCTTCCACTCCTGCAGCTTCTTGTGGTACTGCCTCATGAGTTCCTGTGGGTACACCTATGGCCAGGACAAGGAGAGAGAGGCCAGAGGCTAGAGGGACTGTGGCCAGCACTTGCTCTGGACCTGTGCTGTGGGCCCCCACACTCCCAAGGGCTGGCTCCTGCCTCTCTGTGAGATCTCAGAGCCCACCCCACCCCCAGGACTGGGAACTGTGCCTCCATCCCACCTTATCCCTGGGGCTGGTTCCTACCTTGCATACCAGGTCTATACTGTAGAAGCTGGCATTCACTGAGGCTGTCAGGGTCACCATAATTGGGACCATCTCTTCAGGAGCCACCTCCCCTACCATGGGACTCACAGATACCTGTTGATTTATGGAAGGAATCTCTGGAGTTTCACAGGAATGGGATTTGATAGAATAGGATGGGATGGGATGAGGTAGGATGGGATGGGATGGGAGAATGGGATGGGATGGGATAAGACGGGACAGGATGGGACAAGATGGGATGTGATGGGACAAGATGGGATGGGACGAGTCTGGAGCCCTGCTGGAGGTTCTAATTCTGTGGGCACAGGGCACTCTCACCTCCCCAAAGTCTAGAGGCCTTGGGTGCCAGGAGAAGACAATTGCCTCATTCTTGGAGATGTTGTTGAGGAAGAGCAGGCGGCTGCACTTGCTCTGCACAGGGATGTTTCCCAGGGAGATATGAGACTGGGACAGAAAGACCTTCTGTTGGTGCAGACAACATAACAGCAACTTTAGGAGGTGAAGAAATAATAACCATACAACCACTACCAGTTACTGAGGACTTTCAACAAGTCAGGTGCTGTGTAGGTGCCTCACATGCATTTGATCCTCACAACTATGACATCGGTACCGCTACTGTCCCTGTTTTACAGGTGTGCTGCTAAGGCTCAGACAGTAGAAATGATTTTTCCAACAATCTCTCACACATCTAGCTGGGATAAACCCAGACAGTTATACTCTAAAGCCTATGATTTCAACCATTAAAATAGGTTTGGAGGCATTGAACCGGGTCAGCTTAGAGAAGCAGAACTGATGCCAATTGGCCTCTGATGGACAGTTGTAAATGAATGGGTGATCAGCTGTCGGCATCTTCGCTGGGCACAGAATAGGAGCTGTGTTGTAGGGTTCCGGGAAAGACTGACACCACACCGAAGGGGCACTTATTCTTTGTCCAGGCCCTGAGTGCTTCCAGGGAAGGACTTTGTCTGGCTCTTCTGTGTCCTCCGGACCTCCACAGTGCCCATCCTGGAGTAGGAGTCCAAAGAGGGTCTGAGTGGAAAGGTGGACGGGATATATGGGTGGATAGTGATTGGATGGATGGGTATATGAATGGGGGGATGGATGGATGGATGGATAGATGGACGAATGGATGGATATATAGATGAGTAAATGGGTTGGTGGGTCAATGGGTAGATGAATGAATGCCTGAATGAGTAGATGGGTGGATGGGTCAGACTTCCCAACAATAAGGAGTGTATGAACTAAAGATAGTGTTATTGACCCTAGATATTTTCAGGAAAATCCACCTAGGCAAGGTCCAGGGGATGGTTCTGCATGAAGATAATTAAGGCGTAGAATGGAAGATAATATCTAGAATGTTTTTTACACCTTCAAACACCCCATCCCTATGCCCGGAGAAAAGGGTGGGACAAAGGGCCATGCAGCAGGTGGAGCGGCTGGAGCAGGAACACCTTCGGGCGCTAGGTGGCAGGATAAGCCTCTCCTAGAGCTGGTGTTGCCTGTTGAAATCTGGAGGAGGGCTGGTTCCAGGCTCCACCTCTGCATCCGTCCCTCCTCAAGGCCATCTCATTTCCCTCCTGCCTCCCCATCCCTCTGGGCTGCCCCCCAGGGCTCCAAGGCTCTCCTCCAAGGCCTCAGGCCTTCCCAGCTCCCTTTCTCCCACCTGTCCAGGAACCATCAGCCTAGAGTGTCTGTAGCTGTTGTCCCACGAAGAGATGTTGTGGAAGGGGGCCGTGTTCCCCATGACATGGGGGTCATAGCCCACTCCCTGGAAGTGGATGAGGGCTGAGTTCCATCCCAGGATGTGGATGGGCACGTCCACCTGGGAAGTCAGGAGGGTGGGGGCAGGCGCTGGTCAGAGGGAGGCCTGCCAAGGAAGCAGCTCAACCCCCACCCAGTATCATCCCGGGCCGCTGCTCACCGTGTAGGTCTTGGCCTCGATGGGTGAGAAGATCCACAAGACCCGAGCAGTGGTGCCTGGCTGGATCTCCCCTTTGGGGTTGAGGCAGCGGAAGATGGGGTGATCGAAATTTTTTTCCTGAACTTCTGACAGGATGTTGGTCTGGACCTCATATGTCACTGGCACCGAGCCACCATTATACAGCTCATAAATCTGCAGGGGGCAAGAACAGAAAATCACCACGCCAGGCCAGGACTGCAAACCAGAGAGCCTAGGACTCTGTGTCGGTTGTGGGAGGGCAGATTGATCTCCAGGATGTCACCCTTAGAGTCCCAGAGCTTCCCTAAATCCCTCTGATTTCCCACATGGCTGGATCACCCAAAAAACATGCATTTTCAGCTTGTGACATTTAGGATACTATGTAATCCTATTTGTAAAGGAGCAGCTTAGTTTATTTGCCCTCAATTGACCTTTGCCAAGTTGTAAGGGGACCCTCAAGCTAGCGTCCCTGCTGTTGGGATTTAGGCAAATGTCTGTGGGTGCACCAGCCAGACCGCTCATCATTTTAAAAGTGCTCATCCTAATCATCTGGGGGCCACTTCCCCTGTCTGCCATTAGAGGCAGCTCCAATTCAAGGCAGGTATGGGGGCAGAAAGGTCTGAAGTACTCAAGACTCACCTCAAAGGTAGGGAATCATGAATGTCCTGGAAGAAACCAGAATCTTCTGGTCCAATCCTTCTATTTATTTATTTATTTATTTATTTATTTATTTATTTATTTATTTATTTATACAGAGTCTCACTTTGTTGCCCAGGCTAGAGTGAGTGTCATGGCCTCAGCCTAGCTCACAGCAACCTCAAACTCCCGGGAACAAGCAATCCTTCTGCTTCAGCCTCCCGAGTAGCTGGGAGTACAGGCATGCGCCACCATGCCCGACTAATTTTTTTCTACATATTTTTAGTTGGCCAATTAATTTCTTTCTATTTTTAGAAGAGACACGGGTCTCACTCTTGCTCAGGCTGGTTTCGAACTCATGACCTTGAGCCATCCTCCCGCCTCGGCCTCCCAGAGTGCTAGGATTACAGGCATGAGCCACCTCGCCTGGCCCCAATCCTTTTTTTTAATAATGAGAAAACTGAATACTGCAGAATAAAGAGGATTCACCTGCCTTTCATCCTGGGCCTTTCTCATTTTTCTTGGCACTTGCTCCTGAGCATACTGGCTTTACTTCTCCAGCCTGGACCACCCCTCTGGGCTCCAGACCTTGTGCTATGGGCTGAACATTTGTGTTGCCCCAAGATCCTTATGTTGAAACCTAATCCCCAAAACCATAGTACTAAGAGGTGGGGTCTTCAGGAGATGATTAGGTCATGAGGATGGAGCCTACAGGGATGGGATTAGTGACCTTATCAAAGACACCTGAGGGAACCTGTTCGCCCATTCCACCCTTCCACCCTGTGAAGACGCAGAAGACAATGTCTATGAACCAGGAAGGGGTCTTCACTAGACACTGAATCTGCCCATGCCTAGATCTTGGACTTCCAAGCCTTTATAACTAATAGAAATTTCTGTTCATTTTGTTTTGTTTTGGAATTTGTGTCTTTGTTTTTGGAGACAAGTTCTCATCCTTTTGCCTGGGATAGAGTATAGTCATCATAGCTCTCTGCAACCTCAAACTCTTAGGCTCAAGCAATCCTCCTGCCTCAGCTGCCTAAATAGCTGGGACTACAGGTGTGGGCTACCATGCTCGGTTATTTATTTTTTTTCCTATTTTTTGTAGAGATGGGATCTTGCTATTATGCCCAGGCTGGTCTTGAACTCCTGGCCTCAACTGATCTTCCTGCCTCAGTTTCCCAAAATTCTAGGATTACAGGCATGAGCCACTGCCCCAACCTGGTTTTTCTTTATGAGACAGGTCTTACCGTGTCTCCCAGGCTGGAATGCAGTGGTATGATCATAGCTCACTGCAACCTCCCACTCCTGGGTTCCAGTGATCCTCCTGCCTCAGCCTCCCAAGTAGCTAGGACTACAGGGACCTGCCCAAACACCTGGCTAATATTTTTATTTTATTTTTTTGTAGAGATACAGTCTCAATATGTTGCCCAAGCTAATTTCTGTTCTTTATAAGCCACCCAGTCTAGGGTAGCTTGTTTTAGTAGCCAGAATGGACTACAATACCTGGTATCCAACTTCTACCTGATAAGCCTCTTGGTTCTCTCATAAGCATCTCAAACTTGGCCAAAACCAAACTCCACTAAAGCCTATTCCTTCCCGAGTTTATTTCCTTTCAGCAAATGGCACTCCTAGCACCAGGAGCTCAAACCAGCGCCACTGTTACAGGCCAAGGGGGCAGCTGGGAAGGCGAGGGTGCAGGGCCGTGTAGGGAAGTGAACCTCAGGGCTGAGGTACGCCCCTCAGGTCCTGGAAGCCCCTTCTTTGGCCTTTAGGCTGGACACCCTTGCCCAGAAACACAAGGGCTTCTTCTAAATGGTCAGAAATTTCACAGCTGTGAAATGTTTGGGAAAATATTATGTCCCCCACCTGGAGATTTCCAATGTACATTTCCAGAGCAAAGGAACTGGATTCCCTGCAATCAATACCGAAAGAAAATTCTACAGTTTCTGGAGGATTCCCAGTCCAGTTCTGCATGCTCCAGAAAAATTTCCTTCTTGGAACAGTGATTTTCAAACTGTGGCTGGGACCTATTAGTGAGCAGGTCTAAACTAATTTAGTGGGTCATGTCCAGCATTTAAAAAATGGAATAGAATAAAATAAAAAAGAAAATATCAGCATACTTTAAGTGTAGTAGCATTAGTATAGATTTGTGATACTTTTATTTTGGTTGTGTGTATGTATATGCAGGGGTCTAAGCATATATAATGTAAAATATATTAGTGTGGTTCATGTTCAGAGAAGTTCAAAGAATCTTGCACTAAAGAAAAATAACTCCCTACTTTTACATGGGAACCGGGCCTGGGAAAGTGCTTAGTACTAGCAAACTGAAGCCTCTTGCCTCGAATCTCCCCTAGTCACCCAGGCTGGGGGTTCAACCTGTTGGCCCCACCTCTTAGGTGCTCCTGGAGGGCAGCATTTTTGTCACCCCGTCAGGGGCTGACACAGATATGCAGAGGTCAATGCTTAGGACTCTTGGTCAACAGAACAACGTGGACCACTGACCTGCCGTGGGGGCAGCGTATCACCGATGGGGACAGGGACGAACTGGTGGCTGGTGGAGGTAAAGTGCACATACTTCTGCTCCAGCTTCACTGTCACGCCTACGAAGTTTAGCTGGAAATAAAAGGCCCCTAGGTAGCATCCTTCCCTGGGAGGAACCGACATGCCTGGCAGAGAGATCTCAGCCCAAGCTCCCCAGGGGGTCATTGTTCCCTGCTCCTTTCTTGGTTGTCCAGTGAGCCCCTCCTCCAGCCTGGAACCCAGGGCAGGGCCAGGGTCCTGGGGCCTCACCAGGATCTCCCGGCCATGGGACACCTTGAAGAGCACTGGGAGGCGATCAGTGCCGACGAACAGGTGGCTAGAAAGGGGGAGACAAGTTGGGGAGTGAGTTCTTGAGCCCTGATACAGGTGGGAGAACCTGTGGACATGGCACACCTGTGGCTTTGAGCCAGCTAACCCCTGGGAGCAATTCACTGCCAAGTTGGTTTCGTTTCGAACTCCTGACCTTGAGCTCACTGCCAAGTTGGGATGGGGTAAGAAGGAAATTAGACCTCCCCAGCAGCTGGGAAGCCCTCCCCGGAGGATGGCCATCTGAGATGCCCTGGAGTCTCATAGTGATGGGCCAAAGGAAGGGATCTCCAGGACCAGAAGTGCAGGGTGGGTGGAGGGTAAGGGAGCACCTGTATTTGAACTCCACCATCTGCTCCTGCCCGGGACTCAGGCTCCCAGCCTTGGGGCTGATGGAGAAGATGCAGTTGTCCTGCACACGCATATGGTGGAGCTCAGTGCAGTTAAACTCTGCTTGCTCTGCCCACAGCTCCATGTCGATCTGCTGGTCACTTGGAAAGAGGAAAGCCCTGGAAGAGCGGTGCGAAGCCATACAAAGGATCCGTCAGGCAGAACAGAGAGGAAAGAGCTCTGAGCCCCCGAGGGACAGATGGAGGCCTCCTCATGCCTCCATTTGGCAAACTGTCTGTCCCACGTGTGGCTGAGCAAGTGAGGCTCTTGTGGTTTCTCATTTCATAATGGCCCCCAAATTCAGGAGCAGAGGCAGGACCATGGGGACTAAAGGAGAAGTGAAGATTGGGGCTCCCATTGTAGATGTCAGGGGCCGAGAGGGTTGCTTGTACATAGGGGGCACTTTGGGCTGGCCCTTCTGTGACAAAGCTTCCAGCAAAGGGCCATTTGGGGCTCCCAGGAATTCTGGCAGCACCAACTAGGGGCCCCTGCGATGGAGGGTGTCCAGGCCAGGGAGGAGAACAGATGCCCGAGCAGAGCTGGCACTCTTGAAACAGAAGCAGGTCTGTGTGTGGAGTTAATGTCTTTGAGCTATAGTAAAACACACACTGCACTCTAAATAGCTGACAAAACTAGTGGCAAAGGGTTCCCAAGGTCACAGTCGGAAAGGAGAAACCCTTCAGAGAGATTGTGCAGAACTGGCCCCAGCAGCAAACCAGGCAGAGGATACCAACAGGAAGCATCCCGAGAGGGAAGAGAAAGCATGCCGCCACCTCTGCAAAGCCTCCGTGGGAGTCAGGGAAAAGCAAATCAAAACCCCCACAAGGAATCAGTCTGAAATTTTCTTACATCTGAAATGAGAAGGGAAGTTACATCCAGTACCAGTAAGTTTATAAAAGACACCATCAAACAGGTAGGGAGAGAAGGGAACTGCTGCAACCATTTAGAAAGAATTTTGGCAACCCCTATTAGAATAAAAAATGCATATGCCTTTTGACCCAGAAATCTCATTTTGGGGAGTTAGCCTTCAGGGATAAAAGCACACACATACACACACACACATACACGGTGTCTATTACAACTTTCTTTGTAGTGACAGAAAAAAAGTAGCTGGGAACAATTAAAGTTTCCAATAAAGGAGTGGTTTAGTGACTTAAGGTCCATCCGCATGATGGAATATTATGCAACTATTAAAAAGAACATGTTAGATCAATATGTATTGATCTGAAGGAAATATTACTAATACAATGCTGAGTGAAAAAATATTTTTCATGGAGTAATACGTACAATATGATTGTGTCATCACTGTAAAAAGAGTAAGAGAATGACTCTGTAAATGAGTGAATGTGTCCATGTGTCATACAAAGGCTGAGAGTCGAAAGCTTGCTCCAGACCATTGTCTCCCCAGAACAGTGGGCTTGGAGAGGGAGCTAGAGAATTTCCTACTTTTCTTCTGTCACCCCGGTATCATCTGACTAGCTACAAGTCAGTAAACTGCTGTTGTCATTTTATTTGGGGGATATTGAGCAGCAGAAAAGTGGAGATCTTGCTATTTCAGGGTCCTGTGGGTGGTTTGAGCCTCTCCCCAGCCCTCAATGCCCTCATCCAGGTGCCCTCCTAAATAATTCCAACCCCTTGCCCTGCCAGTCCTCTAGTGTGAGCTTCCTCCCACCCCCCAATCTGGACGACTGCCACAGCCTTCCTCTTCTCAAGGTGCTGGCTCCTTCTCCCCCAGAGACCACGGTGACTGGTCTCGAAAGCTGACCACGTCTGGGCTTCCATGCTCAGTGTACACCCCCTCGATGCCATCAGAAAAAGTTCAGACTCCGAAGGAGGACTCCAAGGCTCTGCCCACCCTGGCCCCCACCCGCCTCCCCATCCTCATTGGAGACGCTCCCTGCTCACTGTTCAGCCACACCGTGTCCTTGCCAAGCCCTCTGTCTCTCTGCAGCCTCTCTGTCTCTGTCTCTTCCTGCCAGGCTGCACATCTAGCTTAGTTGTAGCTTTCTCCCAGGGAGCCTTCCTGAAGTGCTGCACATCCCTCCCTCATGGCACACACGTGGCCCTGAACCAGGAGGCTGGCCTGCATGGGCCCCTGCAGCACTGTGGGGCAGGGACTGGACTCACCCACATTTCTATCCTGAGACCAGCCCAGAGCCTGTGCCTAGGAAGCACCCAGTAAAGTTTTGGCCAATGATTAGGGAGCAGATGAGTGAACAAACGACATTAACCAGCATATTTGACATGTGCAAGGGATCACCCTTTAAATGCAAGACCCTACAAACCCCAGGGCCAAGCAAAGCAGAGGTGCCAGGCGGAGGAGGCTTGGAGGGAGGGACAGCTGTATGGCTCCCCACCTGGCCCGAGCTCCCCTCCCACGTGGGGTTCTCACTCTGTCCTATGCCGCTGCCTCCTGGGCCTTTCTGACTGGCATGGCAGGAATGAAACCCTCTGTCTGTTCTTTATGAGCTCAGCAGAGACGGGCTAGCATTTCCAAAAATAGCCTTCTAAGAAATTAAAAAGGAAACGTAACGACACCAAAAGCATAGGGGAGTCAAGCTGCTAATCCTGGAGGAAGCACGGTCGGCCTTCCTGCACCTCAAATGATCTCCCGATGATGGGCCCCGTGCGGCGGGCACTCCGCCCGCGTCTCTCCCGCCTCAGCTTCCAGCAGCCTGGACTGTCTCCACAGAGAGTTTGGACTGGGTTGCTCCTGCACAAACACTCGCGCGGGGTCCACCAAAATACCCTGCTCCACTCCAGGACACGCGCCAACGCCGCTTTCTCTTCCCCCACCTCCACCGCCCAGCCCTGGCTCCTGGGCCAAAGAGCCCAGTGAGCAGCAGATCTGGGGCTCAAGGCAGGCCCCGGGCCTTCCAGACCGAGCCAGCGGCCCTGCCAAGCCTCCCTGTCACTCGGGGCGGGCGCGGTTCTCATGGTCCCACCCTTCTCAGACAGGACCCACCTAAAGAGCCAGCTTCCCCATCTCGCTCCGCCACAGAGGGGCTGCCATCACACACCTGACGATGCCACCTGCCCCCGTCACCCCACGCACCCCAAGACTCTCTCTGCCAGCTCGGCAGGCTCCTGCCTATCTTCATTCTCATTCACCCCGCCATGCCCCGCTGGGCCCCCAGGTCCCTCTCCCACGCCTGACCCAGATGGGGACACTTGTTTTTCATCTCTCTTTAGTCAAGCCAAGTTGGAAGTCATCAAAAGGAAGTTTACCAGGAAGTCAAGGCACACGGTGGAGGCAGGGAGGGAGAACAACAAAGAGCCCTGGCACGGGCACAGGATGTTTGCTGGGAACAGGTTCTGCGCCCTGATGGGATGAGGAAAGTCTAGCACAGGAAAGGCCAAGCTTGGCGGGCTCAGGTCTCCTGGCCTGGGTCCCGGGTGACTGAGAGGTGCCTCCGCTCTCCCCTGGCCCTCCCGCGGCCACGCTCCTCAGAGGCAGATCCACCCGGGGCAGCAGCTCCCTGTCCTTCCCCACCGGGGACCCTCAGCTCCCCTCATTCAGGCCCAGCTGTCACTGAACTGGGGCTCTGCCAGGCAGGCCCCAGCGGCTGGACAGTGCCTGGCATGCAGAAGCCACTTGAAGCCGTCTTGCGGACTAACCGGCGCAGGCAGGGGCTCTGGAGTTGGACAAACCTGGCTTTGAACCTGGCTCTGTCCATTGACAGCTGAGTGGCCTTGGCCGAGTCCTTACCCTGGCTGACTCTCGGCTCCCTGGCTGTGAGAGCTGTGAAAGGAGGACTTTCTCACAGGGTTGGTGTGAGGGTTAGAGGAGAAAAGGCTGTGACACACAGGGCCGGGCTCGCGGAAGACGCTCAAGGGCTGCTTCTCATTCATTAAGCCATGAGGCCACGGCGCCCAGTCTCCACCAGGCACTTCCACCACTCTGAGCCTGCTGCCATGTCTCAGCCAGCAACAGGTCCTGAGTCCTGCACGGCGACCCCAGCCACCCTGGCCTCTGCATCCACCAATGGCAGGCCCGCTCTTCACAGACGCCAGGCAGCCTGGTCCGCCCCCTTCCAGCCTCCAGGCACCTGTCTCCTGCCTCCCTGTGGCCCCCTCAAGCCAGTCATACCAGTCCAGGGCCACCACTCCGCTGTTCTTCAACACCAGGAGCACCACTGAGGGTGGGGCGTTGAATGGTGCTGCCCCAAAATTGAAGTCAAGCTTCAGGGGGGTGAAGACAGGGGGGATCTGGCTTGTGCTGTGTGGAGCAGAGAAAGAGGCTCAGACATGGGGTGGGGACAAGGCAGGGCTCTTCCTGGCGTGGCTGGCTGGGCTACTTCTCTCCCTCCAGGTGGGAATTGTAGAATCTGGGATTCAGGGGCAGGGGTGGGTGAGCTCTTCAAACCTCAAGCCAATCCCTGCCTTCTCCAAGCCCCTCCAGGGACAGGCAAGAATTCAGGGCCCCTTTCACAAAGGGATGGGGAGCAGTTTCTTGGACAGGGAGGCTGTCTGGGATGTAGACAGAAAGGGCCACAAACATCCCTAGATAGGCCCTGCCCCCATTCTCAGCCCAGCTCACCTGTGCCGTGTGGGCACCTTGTAGGTGAGCTCTCCGGGGGTGGGGTCGCGCTCCAAGTAACTGTTGAGCAGGTCCAGGGAGAAGAGGCGCCACAGGTGCTTCCGCGTGATGCCCTCGGTGCTGCCCATGGAGCTGACGTCCAAGATGGAGAGTAAGGGGAACACGGCCACCAGGGAGACGTGACACAGCTCCTGCTTTTCCCCAGCCTTGTTATCTGGGGGAGGGGAAGAGAGGAACAGGCTCGCCCCACAGCTCCCCTGGGACAGGGTGTGCAGGCTCAGGACAGCCGGCCCAGCACCCTCGTCAGGAGCAGTGGACGGCCCTTGGGCTCTGGGACATTTCCAACAGCAGCAACCCTTGTCTGATGATTTCTGTGTACCTGGCACTGTCCTAGGTGCTTTGCACACTTGCATTTAATGTGCATTGTTACCTGTTTTCAAATGAATTTTTAATAACAGCTTTATTGCTACATAATTTATATGCCACAAAATTCACCCTCTTAACAATTCAGTGATTTTGTACATTCACAGAGTTGTATAATCATCACCACTATCTAATTTTAGAAAATTTTCATCACCCCCAAAAGAAACCCAATACCAATTAGCCGTCACTCCCTGTTCACCTGTCGTCCTCCCCTAGGAACCACTGATCTGCTTTCTGTATCTCTCTGTCTATCCCGGACAGTTCATATAAATGGAATCGTTCTATATGTGGCCTTTGTGATGGCTTATTTCATTTAGCATGTTTTCAAGGTGCATGCATGTAGTGGTATCAGCACTTCATTCCCCTTTCCAGCCCGTGCGCCATTCTTATCCCCATTTTAGAGAAGAGGAAACTGAGGCACAGAGAGGTGAAACAAGTTGCTAAGATTCTAAGGCTAACAAGTACTGGGGCCCAGATCCAGCCCCAGACAGTCTGGCTCCAGCCCACACTCTAACAGCTCTGCCGGCCTGCCAGGGACCGGCTAGTAACAGCCCCACCTTACAGAGGCTGAAGCTGAGGCCCAGGGAGGCTGAGGATTTGTCTAAGATTCCACAATGACTCAACACAGCTCCTAACTCTTCATACTGAGTCTTCCAGGGCTCAGGTACACACACACAGATGCCCACAGATAGATGAGGCTGGCATGCAGCATTCACCCCCCAGACACCCAAAATTATGCTCTGGCATGCCCCACTCGCTCTGCTAGCTCTGCCTTCACCCTTAGCACCCCCGCCCCCAGCCCTGTGTCACACAGCTCCGTACTTCCTCCTGCCCTGCCTCTCCTTGCCAGGGGGCCAGGTACCTCTGTGGGAGAGGAGAGAGTAGCTGATGATCCAGGAGTACTGGGCCCGGTGTTTGGGACAGCCAGTCAGGCAGACAGTGTCCTGGGAGCGGGGCGGGATGCTCCTCTCTGTTCGATCCAGCTGCAGAGCTGCTCAGGGACACACAGGTGGGGTCAGTGGGCACAGGAGGCCTGGCTTCCTCTCTTGCTTTTTCTCAGATACTCTTCCCTGGGCCAGCAGAGCACTGGCTGGAGAGCAGGCTCTGAGTCAGGAAACACAGAGCAGAGCCCCTCCTCCCAGCCTAGGACAGAGGGGACTACACATCTTTGTGTCATCGGCACCTGATAAGCACCTTCCCCACCCAGCAGCCCTGTGAGGTGGTGCCCCTGTAGCCCTGTTTTACAGATGAGGATGTGCGGAGGCTCAGAGAGGACAGTCATCCACCCACCGCCGCATAGCTATAAAGTGGAAGTGCCAGGTTTTAAGCACCGCTCTGCCTGACCCAAACCAGGTGTGGCTAACCAGTCTGAACCAGTAACCCCACCTCCCCCAGCCCCAGTCCCAGCCCAGGTCCGAGTACCGAGGGGTTGGTCGTCGGTGACCTCGGGGCTGCACTGCTCCAGGTGCAGGCGGTAGAAGAGGGTGCAGTTGCCCTCGTTCAGGAGGAGCAGAGACCTGGACTGCTCGCTGTTCACAAGCACATTCCCAAAGTCCAGCTCCTTCTCCTTTGCCTGAGGGCCACAGTTAGCCAGCTGGGGGCAGGGGCTCCCCTAGGCCCTCAGCCTTGCTCTCCAATCGCCATCCTCAGAGGATCCCCCAAGCAAGGGCAGGCCCAGGGGTGTGGGTTCCTACCCCTGCCCTCTCGGAACTGGGTTCCCAGGGACCTTCCCTCCCACCCTGGCCCCCCAGGGCTCTGCCACTCACAGAGAGGCTGCTGGTGACACCCACACCCACCAGCCGCAGCATGTACTGGGTGTTGGGGGGCGGATTGACACGTAGGGGCAGGCTGGGTTCCCAGACCCACATCCCCACTCGGAACAGGTACTTGGTCTCCTCCATAGGGCTGAAGGTCCACATCAGCGTCTGGGGTCACAGAGATGATGGCTGCATAGGAGCCTTGGGAACCCCCTCCCCTGGGCTCCTGGCTGTCTGAGGTCCCATCGCTGGGTGTCAAGCTATGGCAACCCTTTCTGAGTATTTCCCCTGTGCCAGGCACTCTACAGGGCATATAGTATGTCATCTTCCTAGGCCCCTCAATCCTACATCCCTACAAGGTCAGTGGTATTATTTTTGTGCTTTGTTTTCTGATGAGAAACTAGAGGCTCAGAGAAGGGAGGTCACTTGCCCAAGGACAGACAGCTAGTGAGGGTGGGAGGTGGGGTGTGAGCACTCTGGCCAGCTCCAGAGTCTGTGTGAGCTCTCACCTTCCTGGTGACTGCCCCTGGGCTCTTACAGACACCTATGTTGGTTATTCTTGTTCCAAGATGGGCCTCCCCAACTAGTCTGGAGGGCCCTAGACTAGGGACAGGCGTCTGGTATTTTGGGTCCCAGCCAAGGCAATGTCAAGGCCACTCACAAGGCTCTCATTGGGCTGGATGAGTCCCCTGGAGGGCTGGACAGCCAGCATCTTCTGGTACTGCTGGGAGACCCTCCACTCAAACTGCAGGGGCAGACGCGAGGGGTTGCGGAAGGTGAAGGGGCTGGTGGAGGAGCAGCCCACCAAGGTGGGCTTGAAGTAGAGGTTCTTGGAGGAGTCCAGCTTCAGCTGCAGTGGCTCCTCACGGCTGTGCATGATCACCTCCTGGGGCCAGAGGAAGGAGGGAGCGCCCTGACCTCACCCGAAGTCCTGGCTCCCGCCCATGTTCAGGAAGCCATGAGTTCAGCCTTCCCCCTTGGAGATGGCAGTGAAAGCCCCTCTGCCAGCCTGGGCACAGGCAGTTTCTGTTGAATGCAGAGTTGATGGTGACTGAGCCAGGAGATGATTCTTGAAAGTAACTCAGGGACCGAGAGGAGATATAGACCATTTCATGGGGCCAGGCATAGGTCCACCACCCCTGACCCTATCCCTGTTCTAACCCCAAATATCCCTCTACTATCTGCAGATGTGAATCCTTTCTTGCCCCTAGATCCTTCCTCTGAATTCTCTGTGCCCTCTTTCTTGGTCCCAGACTCCAAGAAGTGGCCAGGCAGGGCCCTGAGGGGTGGGCCAGTTGTTCATAGATGTAGCCAAGGAGTTCCCTCCCTGCTATGCTACTTCCTGGAGGAGGCTTAGGGGCCAACCCCAGAATGTGGCTTTGAAAAGGGAAGCTCCAGGCTACGGCTCATTCCCAAGGACCCAGGTCCCTAGTCCTGCCTCCTACCTTGAGATAATAGGGGCAAAAGTTGAACTTTAGGTAGAAAATGTGCTGCTTCCAGGAATTGCCCTTGGGGTAGGTAGAGATGAGGAAGATCTGGTGGGCCCCAGGTGCCACGAGGCCTGAAGGGGGCCGCAGGGTGATGTCTGAGCTGCTGTGGGGGGCCAGGCTGAAGGTCAGCAGCATGGAGCCTTGGTTGATCAGGAGCAGGCTGCGGTAGGCCGGCTCACAGGAAGGCACCGCAGGAAACAGCTGGGGTTGGGGAGAAAGGAAGAAAAGAGGGACCCCTGCTCTGAGCTCCACTCCCAAGACACCCAGGGACATAGAGGTGGGCTTGGGAGGGACTGTCTCTAGGAGATCCAAGATGCCACCATGCAGCCCATTAGACACCCTGGGAACAGAGAATTAAGGGAGGCCCCCACCTGGCACCAAATAATGCTTTTGTTCTGCAGAAACCTCCTAGCAGGGTGGCCATAGGCCCCTGAGAAATTCAGGCCTCCAAGTCCTCTCCTCAAGGTTAAAGTAAAAATTGTTTCATTTCAGGGTGCCCTCGAATCACCCTTTGGAGAACCCATTTTCAGAGAGCCCTGTCCAGATGCTCTGCAGTGAGCAGCCCCTTCTAGATGATTCTCATGCAGGTGGCTGAGGGGAGCCAACCTGAGTAATCCCAGCTCCCAAACACTCCTTAGGCATCTGGGGTGTGGCCAGCACCAGCTAAGAGCTGAGCAGGCTACAAAACACAAGACACACACTCCCCGACCAAAGCAACCCGTGCAGCTGGGGCCAAGGGGCACGTGTGGGAGCCAGCGAGGGAATGACGCAGCCGGGAATCTTCGGGGCCGCAGCACAGGCCAGACCACTGGGAGGAACCGGCCAGGGGAAGGGGGCCAGGCTGGGAGGTGGCCAGGAGGAGAACGTGTGAGTCAGGGAAGGCTTCAGGAAGGGGTGGCCTCTGAGCTGAATCTTGGGGTGGTATAGGTTTACGACTGAAAGGCAGAAGTGTAACCGGTGGGGAAACAGGATCACCCCAGAGCACATTGTCCCAAAGGGACACCTTTCCAGCAACAAGAAGACTAATGTAAAAGCTGAGGATGGCAGTGGAAACCGGAGGAGGCCTCAGTGGTGGGACCAGGGCTGGAAGCAGGAGGTCTGGCCCCAGGCTCCGTGCTTTCCAGCCCTGTGTTGTCCTGACCCTCAAGTCAGCAGCTCACCAAGGGCCCTGGGGGAGACCTGGGAATTGTGACCCCTTGGGCAAGGGGCTGGCTTTGCCTCCCCCACAGGGCTGGGTGCCCCCCAGGGCTATCGTATCCCTAGGGACTGGCCCAGGACTTGGCACAGCAGGAGCTTGGTAAATAGGGCACAAACAAATGAAGGAGCTGGGCAGTCTTCAACCTGAGGGTGAGAGGACGAGGGGACTATTTCAGTTGGAGCAGGGAAAGGCCACATGTCCAACTCCCAGACCCTCTCCAGGCCCAGTCAGAGTGCCGTGGCCTAGGAGAGCCCTGGTCATAGAAGGCACAGGGATGTGTTTCTGAGGCCACCAAAGAGGAAAAGAGGGACCTGCAGGCCAAAGCTGAAGCCCGGGATCTCCTATCTCCCTCCCACTGCTGTTGGGGTCACGCTCACCTTGGGGACATCCAGGCAATATTGGGGGATGTGGTGCTCAAAGGCAGCATAATAGCTGTGGCCTTGCGCCCGCACCGTCAAGCACCAGGACGGGCACATGGTGCAGTCCTCCTCGATGTTGTTGTAGCTCCGCAGGACCTGCAGGGGGCAGGACCCATGGAAGAGCTCAGAGTCCTGTGTGCCAGTGGGGCGCCCCACTTTGCCCCCTCCCTGGCCCTGTGCTGCTGGAGCCCTTGGTGGGCACAGGAGGAAGACAGTGCAGAGAACTTGAGTCACAACCCAGCCCCTCCCGCCGGGAGCCCAGCGCTGGACGGAGCACTGGCAAACACGCTCCTTAGCGCTTGCAGGGCCGGAGGCGGGCGGGGCGGGACATGAAAGCAGCATTCATTCTGCAGGAACCAGCCTAGGGAAGTGCTGGCCAATAGAAATATCACGTGAGCCACAAATGCCAGCCACAAATGTAATAGTAAATGTTCCAGTAGCCACATTAAAAAAGTGAAACACATGAAATTAATTTCAATAATACGTTTTATTTAGGTCAATAGATCCAAAATCTTATCACTTCAACATATAACCAATATAAAACTATTAATGAGATATTGTACATTCTTTTCATACTGTCTTTGATATCCGGCGTGTATTTGATACTCACAGCACATCTCAGTTTGGACCAGCCACATTTCAAGTGCTCAATAGCCACGTGTGGCTGGCGGTGGCCTTTTTGGACAGTGCAAGTCTAGAGCCTGTAACCTCAAAATCTGCCATGCCGAGCCTCAGCAGGGCTAGGCGTCCACAGCCTCATTCCTACAGACATCCACTTTCCCCCACTGCCAAGACATTAGAACAAAGGCAATGAAAGACCCCACCTTGGCAGGCTTCCTCAAAAGTTTGGACGTGGCCCCAAGTTGGGAAATGAAAAGACCAGGGCTCAGAGACATTGAGGAACTTGCCCAAGGTCATGTAGCTGGTAAGTGACTCTGATCTTAACTGCACAGCTCTACTCTGGGCCCCAGCACCCTTGCTGGGACACAGGGAAAGGCAGGACTAGCCAGCTAAGGAGGGAGTGCCATGTGTCCCGGACTGACAGGCCCTGGCTGGAGCATCGGGGCTGGGGACAGCCTGGGCTCTGAGTTCCCCAACCAAGGGAAGCTGTGCTAGAAGCCCCTTCTCGGACACAGTTAATTATCCAGCACTCCTGATGCTGTCCCCAGGCCCTGGTTCCTGCTGGCCACAGACCCTTCAGAGGGACCATTTCCTACTTCACAGACCAGTAGAGAAGCTAGGAAGGCCTGTAGCTGAGCCCCAGGGAGCCACTCCTTGTGAACCAAATTTTCCCAAAGAGCTTGATCCTAGCTGAATTCTGCCCAGGAGAGCAAGGGGGAGGAGGGGGCCAGGTATGAATAAGCAGAGTCAGATGAGCCAAGTCAGATGTGAGCCTGGGAGGAGACAAGCCAGTAGGGGACGCTGTCCTGCCAAGGAGAGAGGGGAAGCTTGGCACTAAGAGGATGGAGCCCTCTGTGACCCAGTTCAGGCTCCAGCAAAGACCCCTCCTTGCCCCTGTCATCCGTGTACACACACCTTATAGATAGCGAAGGCTTCAAGCTCCACTGCGTAGAGGCAGTTGGGGTAAGTCGGCTGGAAGTGCAGGCGCATGGCTGTGGACTTCAGCGGGGGCACATCGCAGGTTTCGGGGGTTACCCAGAAGGGGCAGTCAGATCTGTGCGTCCAGACCACGGTGATCTTGCCCTTGGTGTTGTTCATCAGGCACAGGGGGACAGGGTTGGGGGCCTCAGGCCCGGGGCAGGCACCAAAATCCACCTCAACAGGCTCTATACTGACGGGTGGGGGGAAGATGGCCATGTCCCTGGTGCCGTCGAAGAAGTATTCAGTCACTGGGGGGATGTAGGGATACTGTGGGGCTGGCATGGTCCCCAGGTCCTGCATGGGAAAAGACAGGTGGACAGGGACCGCCTGCTATTCCTCTTGCCGCTGGCTGTCTTATGCACTCCTATCTGGAAAAGGTTGCAAGAGCTCCACCCGGGTCATCCAAAGGGCTCTAGGGGCACAGGACGGCTTTTGGCCCAAGAATCACTAGAGAAGGAGGCAGCCTGCCCTGGGCAGGGCTGCAGCATCTGGGCCCATAGGGGTTCACTTACCTCTATGGGAATCATGAGGGCCCCATCCTTGTCCCGCTGCAGCTTCTTCTCCTTCAGCATAGCTCCCAGGATGTCAGGAGGGTAGAGTGTCAGCCCCCGGGCCAGATGTGTGCGGTACCAGGCAAGGTGGTGAGGCTTCAGGATGGCGGGCTTGGTGCTGTCTGAGTGGCACGTCCCAATCAAGTCCAGGAAGAGCGGGTCCTGCGCCATTAGTTCATTTGCAACAGTGCATGGGAGGGGTGATGGGGCAAGGAGGGTGCTGGGGGCTGAACTGAGGACAGAAGCTGGACAGGCAGGATGACAGAGGTGGTGGGATGTGAGCTTCAGGGTGGCAGGTGGGGTGGGTACCCCACAGCAGATGAGAACAGTGGGGATCCAGGGAAGGTCAGGACTAGAGCACTCCAGCCCCTAGGATGCTCAGCCATTGCCCACCCTTCTCTTTCCCCTCTGCCATAGCCCTGGGCATTCTACTGCCCATCCTACTGCCACCCAAGAGGTCTGCAAGACCAGAATTCAGGCCCTCTCTAGGGGAGGAGAATATAGAAATGGCCTCATCAGACCTCCCTCTGTGCTCCTGTTCTTCCCCCTCCCCAAGGCCTCCCCTCGCCCATCCTGTACCTGCACAAGGCAGACAGATACACCCAGAGCCTGGGCACCAGCTTGGGGGAGAGGAGGATCCTAGGCTAGATTTCAGCCCCTACTTGCCACATTGGCCAGGCACCCGCTGGTCAGCGCACAATGGTATGACATCCAGGGGCTTGGGGTCAAGGTCTAATGTCAAAGCTCTCTGCCCTACACATGCCCCTGGCAGCAGTCAGGGCAGGATGGACACAGACTGAGCCCTCATGTGCCCTGACACTCTGGCCCCCTAACCCTCTGGACATGCTTCAGCCGGAGCCCTCCCGTGTCCTGGCCATGCTCTAAAAGCAGGGGCCTTGGAGGAGGACATGACCCTGGCAGACAGCCCCAGAAGTTCCAGAATACAAGGGAGGTGCCCACCAGGCCTTGCCTTCATCACTGGGCCTCAGATGGGCCCTGGATCAGCCCCAGAGGAGCCCCTATTCCCCTCAGTCTCGGTCCTTCCCCACTGCTCACCTGGTGGTGGATGAGGCAGGCCACGCGCCGAAAGAAGATGATGGGGTGAGTGGGCTGGAAGGCGCAGTGCAGGGTCATGCGTGACTTGCCCACCAGAGTCCCGTAGGCAGGCCTGATGCTGAAGACGCTCTCCTGGCAGTCGATGGCAAACTGGAAGCGGGCCGTGCAGTCCGACTTGTTCTCAATCCACAGGGACTGCACCAAGGAGCGCTCCCCAAGTTGCACCCAGCCGAAGTCGACACAGTAGTACTCCAGGGACACAGCAGGACCTGGGCATAGACAGGGAGTCCCTGTGAGTGGGTCCTGCCCCCTGGTAGGGCCTCCTCAATGATGTCTCAGAAATGGTCCTACTGGCTGGGCGCGGTGGCTCACGCCTGTAATCCTAGCACTCTGGGAGGCTGAGGCAGGTGGATTGTTCAAGGTTAGGAGTTCAAAACCAGCCTGAGCAAGAGTGAGACCCCGTCTCTACTATAAATAGAAAGAAATTAATTGGCCAACTAATATATAGAGAAAAAATTAGCCGGGCATGGTGGCGCATGCCTGTAGTCCCAGCTACTTGGGAGGCTGAGGCAGAAGGATTGCTTGAGCCCAGGAGTTTGAGGTTGCTGTGAGCTAGGCTAATGCCACGGCACTCACTCTAGCCTGGGCAACAAAGCGAAACTGTGTCAAAAAAAAAAAAAAAGAAAAGAAAAGAAATGGTCCTACTGATGGGACGTGGTGCCGCCTGGAGACAGAGGCCAGCCTAGAAAGGCCCAGAGCCCTGGCAAGCTGAGTAGACTCCAGCACCCTGGGGTGCTGGTGGGACTGCTACCTCCAGGTGTCTACAAATTACCCAGTGGGCCACCAGGGGGCAGCAGACACCAGGCTGAGGGGCGAGGTGGCCCCAGCTCTTAGGCCAGGAAGGAGCTCTTCAGAATCCTCTGGGTTGCTCCTGTCCCCAAGAGAAGCGCAGTATCCAGGGGTCACCAGTACCTCTACAGAAACCAACGACCTTGAGCTGGGTTTGCGAGCCACAGCCAGAAGGCATGATGGAGAAGTAGTCCATAGTTCTGGTGTCCAAAGTCTCAGGGTGGAAGAACACCGAAACGCATTTCTTCTCTCCTGGGGACACGATGCCATGAGCCGTGGGGCATGAGAAGGCATGGTCTTTAGCCAGCAGGTCTGCGGAGACTTCAATCCTGAAGGGGGCTTTCACCTGTGGGGCCAGGTTGCGGATGAGGGGTCAAGAGCAACGTGTGCCTTGTACTGAGGTGCCCAGCCGAGGGGATGGGGCAGCTGGCACCCAAGCTGTGCCCGCTGGCCAGCTGTGGGCATGGGGCAAGGCTACCAGCAGGAGGAAGGAAGGGGCCAAGCCATGTGCCCTGAACTGGGCCTACCCAAAGAGGGCACCTTTTTCTTCTCCCAAAGGTGCCATCACAGCTACCTGTGGGCCTGGGGTCAGGACAGTCTCAGGGATGCTCCTTGGATTGCACTGGGGGGTCAGGGTGTAGCCCAGCACAGCCCCCAGCTGAGAGCAGAGGGGTACTCCTATTGATAGCTGTTGATACATATGTGTATCAACAGACATGGGTTATGTGAAGCTTGGGGCCAAATGTGTGGAGAGAAAGGAGGACATTCTATAAAGGGAACACATTTTAGGAAAACCCAGTCCTACGGTCCTGCCTCTTCCCCTCCCCGCCCCATGCGTACCACTGACGGGTTATATAGCTTGATCTGCCTCTCGGCAGTACAGCCCACAGCAACAGTGCCAAAGTGCAACACTTTCTGGAAGCCGTCTGCATCCTGGTCCTCTGGTCGCTTACGCTTTATGCTCACCAGCAGCTGGGCGCATTTGGCTGGGGAAAGATAGGGGAGTCTCAGGGAGAAGCCACCAGGGCCTCTGCGGCCCCAGCTGAACAGCTACTCAAAGGAAGGAGGTGTCCCCGGTAAAAATCAGTCTGCAACATCACAGAGGGCAAAGAAAAGGCAAAGCCTGGGGGGGCGGGGGAGTGCAGGAGGCTGGTGGAGGCCCCATGGGCAGGGCAAGAGGTGGGGGCCACACGAGGCCTTGAGCCCCGGGGAGGTGCAGCAGCTGGGCGCCTGGGGACAGGTGGGGGCCAGGCCTCACCCACAGCCTGCAGCTGGATGGTGCTCTTCTGCTGGTTGCCCTCCCCGTACCAACATGTGGCCTGAACTTCGTGGATGACAGCTGTAATGGGCTGAAAGGTCACCTTGATCCGACAGGCTAGGCCCGGCTCCAGTAGCCCTGTGGTGGGCAGGATCTGGAATGGGCTGGGGACCTCCCAGCTGAAGAAGGTCGGCAGGTCCCTGGGGGATAGGAGGCAGGTTAGGGCCACAGGGCCCCTTCTGACCACTGTCCCTTCTTTAGCAAGGCAGAGGCATGGGGCCACCCTCTTAACTCCTCCACCAAGATACGCTGGACTCTCCTGCTCCCAGGTACTCTCCTCGCAGCTCTTGCTCTCCCCACCTCTGTACCTCAGCCTCTGCCCTCACCCCATATTGTCCAGGCAGAACCAGGCTTCAGCTGTGTCCCCGACGGCACACATGGGCAGCTGCAGCAACGGTGGGCAGTTCAGCTCATGGTAAGGCAGTGTGGCTCGCAGGTCCACACAGAACATCCCCTCTGCCTTCTCAAACCACACTTGGTCCACGTACTCCTTCTGCAGCGTGGGGGCGGCGGCAGAGGCAGTCATTGTCAGCGGCACCTAGGTGGCGCTCAGGGACCAGATAGCCCACCCTCCCTCAGCACCCCAACCCAGCCACAGCAGACTCAGAGGAGTGGGTTGGCTGCCCGTGCCCCTACGTCGTCTTGGTCTCAGAGATTAGGGCCTCTTTTGTGGGGAAAATAATTTGAGGAAATTTGGAGGGATCGGGAAAAGGCCAGGGAACCTAGGGCTTTCTGATGGCTAATACAGCGTCCCCATCTCTGCCCCTCCCAGTGGCCAGTGGGGAACATGCCTCTGCCTGATACGATTAGGGTCTGAACCCTTTTGGGCTTGTGCTATAGCTGGCAGGACGCGCACGTGGTGGCGGAGCACCTTCCTGCTCTGCCCGCTGCTGCTCTGAGGTCCCTGTTCCCGGACTCCTTGCCCGCACCCCTCACTCTCTGTGACAGAGCTTACCTGCTCTAGAGGCCGGAAGATGATGGGGAGGGTGAGGGTTATGCCCGGGCTCAGGAAGATGGGCTGAGGGATGACTGTGAAGAAGAACTTGGTCTTGGGGGGCCTGCAAGAGAGAGGGGGTGGACACTTCAGATCGGGGCTCAGAACGACTCGAAGAGGCAGGAAGACTGGGGAGACCTTGAAGCTGAAGGGCTTAAGTCCTTGGGGCCACAGAGAAAGAGACGTGGGGGTGAGTGTGTGGAGGAGGACACACGAGGGTTTGGTCAGAAGAGGACCTGTCTCCCTCCTCCTCTTCCTCCTATTGTCACAGCCCTTCACTCTGAACGAAAGGGAGGCGGCATTCGTAGCTGTGGTGAGCATGGCTGGGGTGTAGGAAGGACACCCTGACTTAACAGAGCCCCTGAGCCCTCAGCTGGGGGAAGGCTGGGAAGGGAGTTGCCAGGGATGCTTTTCCAAACAGAAGCCTGGGCAGGGCTGTAGCCTCCAGCGTGGGTTAAAACTATAGATGCTGCAGGCTTTTAAAATACTAATAAGATGATGACAACAACTCTATAGCAATAAATGTTTAAGTTTAGATGCAATATATGCATTCCTAGGGAAAATATACCTTGCCAAAACTGACTCAAGAATTATACAATAAATTTTATGGCCATCCTACCTAAAATCGTCAAAGAAACAGAATAGGTAGTCAAAACTCTTCCTACAAAGAAAACACTAGGCCCGATGGCTTCACGGCAAGTCCTACCAAGCATGTGAGGAAAAATAATTCTGGCCTTCAAGTCTTCCAGTTAATAGAAAATGAGGAAAACACTCATCAACACAGTCTACGAAGCCATCATAATGTTGTTATGAAAACCTGACAGAGAGGCTGGGCGCGGTGGCTCATGCCTGTAATCCTAGCACTCTGGGAGGCCAAGGCGGACGGATTGCTTAAGGTCAGGAGTTTGAGACCAGCCTGAGCAAGAGTGAGACCCTGTCTCTACTATAAATAGAAAGAAATTAATTGGCCAACTAATATATATAGAAAAAATTAGCCAGGCATGGTGGTACATGCCTGTAGCCCCAGCTACTTGGGAGGCTGAGGCAGAAGGATTGCTTGAGCCCAGGAGTATGAGGCTGCTGTGAGCTAGGCTGATGCCATGGCACTCACTCTAGCCTGGGCAACAAAGCGAGACTCTGTCTCAAAAAAATAAAGAAAAAAAACCTGGCAGAGGCAGGAGAATAAAGAAAAATGACAGGCCAATCTTACTCATAAACAAAATATTAGCAAAAAGAATTTAGCAATATATTAGAAAGAATACTCAGTCATTACCAGTTGCATTCATTCCAGGAATACATGGTTGGCTTAACACAGAAAATCAATTAATATAATCCACCATATTAATAAATTAAGAGAGGAAAAAAATCAAATGATTATCTCAATATAGAAAAATATTAGATATGGCAGGTGTGGTGGCTCACACCTGTAATCATAGCACTCTAGGAAGCCAAGGCAGAAGGATCACTTGAGGTCAGGAGTTCAAGACCAGCCTGAGCAAGAATGAGACCCCATCTTTACTAAAAATGGAAAAATTATCCAGGCATGCTAATGCACGCCTGTATTCCCAGCTACTTGGGAGGCTGAGGCAGGATTGCTTGAACCTAGGAGTTTGAGGTTGCAGTGAGCTTTGATGTTCTCTACCCAGGGCAACAGAGTGAGACTCTGTCTCCAAAAAAAAAAAAAAAAAAAGCATTAGGAAGGGGAAAAATGCCATTTGCCATATAAAATATAAATGTGTGCATGGAAAAAAACAAAAGGGTTATGAAATAAATTATTAGAATTAATAAAAGGATTACTGAGGTCTCTAGACATAATTTTTATACCCATACATCCAGATTATACCCATATAAAAATAAATGACATTCAAAAATTATCAACAAACAGAAATAAAAACAACTTTAAAATACATCATATATAAAATCTACAAAAATATAAAATGCTTAGGAATAAATCTAACTAAAGATATGCAGTATGTCTATGGAGAAAACTTTAAACTTTATTGAGAGACATGAAAAAAGACCTAATAAATGTAGAAATAAAGAGATACACCATGTTCATGGATCAAAAGAATCAATATCGTAATGATGTCAATTCTCCCCAAATTGATCTATAGATTCAATTAAATTCCAATCAACATATTAAAAAGTGTATGTGTATGTGTATGTATGATAAGCTGATCTGGATATTTATATAAAAGTTCAAAGGGCCACCAAGATAGCCAAAACAGTTTAAAGAAGAGTGAAGTTGAAGGACTTACAACACTATTAGATATCAAGATTTACTATAAGTTCTAATAATGAATTCAGGCTAGTGTATTGGTCCAGGGATAGACAAGTAGATCAAGGGAATAAAACAGACTTCAGAAATGGACCTGTATACATAGGAACACTTGATATATGTCAGTGGTGTGGGAGACCATCAGAGAAAGTATACACTTGTCAATAAATGATGTTGAGACAATTGGACATTTCACTGACGAAAAACATGTCATCAGATCCCTAGCTTAAATCATTCACAAAAATCAGTTCCATATAGATAAAAGACAGATATGAAAGGCCAAAACTATAAAGTCTTTAGAGGATATTATAGGAGAATATCTTCATGACCTAGGGGTAGAGAAGGACTTCTTAGGCAAGGCACAAATAAAGCACTACCCATTAAAGAAAAAATTGATAAATTTGAAAAATCAAAAATCAAAATCAAAAAAATTGATAAATTTGATTCCTTTAAAATTAAGAACCTCTATTCTTCAAAAGATACAAGAAAGAGAGGAAAAGACAAGTCATAAGGTGAGAGAAGATATCCACAACACATAACCAACAAAGGATTAATACTCAGGATAAGAACTTATACCAAAAAAAGAAAGAGGCCGGGCGTGGTGGCTCACGCCTGTAATCCTAGCACTTTGGGAGGCCGAGGCGGGTAGATTGCTCAAGGTCAGGAGTTCGAAACCAGCCTGAGCTCTCTACCAAAAATAGAAATAAATTAATTGACCAACTAAAAATATATATACAAAAAAAATTAGCCGGGCATGGTGGCGCATGCCTGTAGTCCCAGCTACTCGGGAGGCTGAGGCAGTAGGATCGCTGAGCCCCGGAGATTGAGGTTGCTGTAAGCTAGGCTGACGCCACGGCACTCACTCTAGCCTGGGCAACAAAGTGAGACTCTGTCTCAAAAAAAAAAAAAAAACAAAAAAAAAAACAAAAAGAAAGAAAAGACATTCCAATAGAAAAATGGGCACACACATCAACATAAATTTCACAAGTGAAAAACTGCAAATGGTCAATAACCTAGGAAAAGATACTCACCCTCATTAATCAGTAATCAGGAAAATGCAAATTAAAACCACAACAAGTTACCATTATTGGCAAAAATTTTAAATCCTGACAATCACAATTATTGGTAAGGATGTGAAAGAAGAGCTCTCTAATGCGGCTGGCAGGCATCTAAACAGATGCATGTCCTTTGGAAAATAGTTTGGCTTTGTCTACAAAAAGTGAACACGTACACGTCCGAAGCCTCAGCAATTCTTCTCCCACATATATACCCCCGAAAAACTCTTGTACTTGTGCAACTGGAGATGTATACATGAATGTTGGTAACAGTCCCAAACTGGAAACAACCCAAACATCCCTCAACAGAAGAATGGATAATGCATTATGCTATAGGCATACACTGGAACACTATTCCACAATGAAAAAGGGTAAAACTATAGCTGCACACGAATGAGTCTTAAAAACATAATCGAGCAAAATGTAAGAGTTACAAAAGCATACCATATTCTTCCATTTATATAAAGTTCATAAGAAGGTAAAGTATGTCATTTAGGGATGCAAACACAGGTGGTAAATCCATTTTAGAAAAGCAAGAAAATCATTACCATAAAATTCAGGATAGTGGTTAGCTTCCTGGGTAGGGAGGGGGTTCTCATAGGGGAGAGACACACAATGGGAGAAGGTGAGCATCAGACACCATCATTATTCCATGATTTAATCTGGTTACATGGGTTCTACTTTCTAGAATTCTTCAAACTGCACATGTTTTGAACACTCATGTGCTTTTATATGACATACTAAAAGGTTTTTTTATTTTTTATTATTTTTAAATTTTTTGTAGAGATGGGGTCTCACTATGTTGCCCAGACTTGCCTTGAACTCCTGGCCTCAAGTGATTGTCTTACCTCCCAAAGTGCTGGGATTATAGGCATGAGCCACCGCACCTGGCCTAAAGGATTTTTTTAAAGAGAGCCTGCTTTGGGGGGTTGGGGGTTTGGGGGCTGGGTCCCTGGTCCTCATACTGGTACCTGTATGTCATCTTCTGGATTTTCAAGGATAGATTTTTCAGAACCAGGTTCCTTGTGGTCTCCTTTCCTAGCTCCCAGCCTTTCCAATGCAGCTCCTCGGTCACCTCAATGCCCCAGATGACCCTTTTCTTCACTGTGTCCTGCTTCTTTTGGAAGCATATTTGCATGTCTGTGGAGCTGGCTGGCTGCTCAGGTGGCAGAGGGAAGGGGAAGAAGAAAAGACATTAGTGGGGTCGGATGCAAAGACCCAGAGGACAGGCAAAGATCTCCCTATCTCCAGGAGGCAATAAATGAAACCACCCCCACCCCTGAAAATGGCCTGGAGAGGGAAAGTGAGGTTGCTAGGACAACTTTCCAACTACAGCCCCAGCCCTTAAAGCCTTCCCTGGACACCCACCCAGCCATTCCACCCCGCACATAAACGTGGTGGTGGCTGTCTGCTCTGTTCCTCAGAGTACGCTCTTATACCTCCCTCACACCCTCCCCCCTCCCCCTCCTCATCCTGCCCTTACTACAGAGGACTCTCTTAGCTGGAGCGGTCTATCCCAGACACTTTTGCAGACCACAGGGACACTCCGCCATCCCCTGTCCCATCCCTCAACTGGCTGGTGGAGCAAAGGAAGGAGCCAATGTGCCTGCAATCAACCTCCACCCACGCCCTGCCTGCTGGGGCCTCTCCAAAGGATGCTCCTGGTGATGCCAGCGATGCCGTGTGCCAGTGTCTCCTTGTCTATAGTGGACAGTCCTTCCATCAGCTGATCCATAACCCCAGCTATGTGGGAAGGAAGGGGAACTGAGACCCCCCCGCCCCCGGGGGAGATAAGGTGGAGGAAGAATGACCTGGCTCTCTTCCTACCACAGTCACTACTATGAATGCTCAACTCATTGGCATTTTCATTTATCTTTGATCAAGTATGGCCTTTATATTGCTGCATAGCATGAGGAAGGATGTAGTCACCCATTCAACAAACACTTGTTAACTCCTATTATGCACCAAACACTGTGCTAGGGGCTGGGGCTACAATGGTGAACAAAGCTGACAAACCCCTTCTCCCTTAGATCTTATGTTCTCATTTTCAACATTACACAGCACGTGGGTGGCCAGCATGGTATTTTCTTTCCCAAGGTGCTCATGGAGGACGGTGACGTGGGGGGTGGGGGATTTACTATAAATACCAGTTGGGGATCAGTCAGGGTCCAATCAGGAAAACAGAAGCCACTCTGGGTCATAAAACAGGGAATTCAATGCACAATCAGGGACAGTGAAGGAACCCAGGAGTTAGAATATCACGAAGCTGCCACCACACCTAGGTTAGGGGACGTGGTGGGCTTATTAGAGCCCGCAGCATGTCTGGTGGGAACTGGAGCCACAGGGGAGATGCAGCTGTGGACAGAGCCACTGTCAAAAGCAGAGAGAGGGGAAGAAAAGTGCCCTGGCTCCCCCTTCCTCCCATCTTCCAATCTCCCGTCAGCGCAGAGCAGAGCAGGGAAGGGATGTGAGTGAATCTGAGAGCAAACAGGCCTAGAATGGAGGGGCAAGATGTCTTCCAACACACGACCCTCAGGCCACATGGAGGCAAGGACAACCACCATCACATCTCAGGAGACGCGCACCACCTACCCACAACACAGACATGCGCTGCGTGGAACACAAAGTCATACCCCATAGCCCCACCCCTGGACGGCTGTACCACAAGGAGAACCACAAAAGTTGCCAGAAGTGAACAACACCCATACATCAGTCACACACAAAGTCCTAGGGGGCAAGGCCAGAAGAGCTTTGTGAGGGAAGAGAGAACTCGCTCTTCCCCGGAGCCCTCCTGCCCACGGCCTCCCACTGCACCCACTGCTCCCAGCACTCCAGTGCGTTGCTGTCCTGTCCACACAGGGGATAGTGCTGGGGTGTACAGGGCAGACTCAGGGCCTCTGCTGACGCTTTCACCCCACTATTCTGCCACACCATGCTCCGTGCACCCTAGCTGTGTCCCCACCCGAGCACTGGTGCTGCTGCAGGCACTCCTGGCTGCACTGCTGCTGTTGACGGTGACCATGGCCACTGTGCTGGTACTCAGGTGGGATCCACCAGAGTTCACGGTGTAGTCCACACTGTCCGTGTGCCGAATGACGGGGCTTGGGGCCTGGGTGAGCATTGGAAACCTGATGGTGCTCCAGGGAGCACACTTGCTGAACCAGGAGTTCCTTCCAGGTCCAGGTGTGAGTCTGGATCTGTGGAGAGAGAAGAGGGGAGACAGGAGGAACGTGAGAAAGAGAGGCCTATGGAGGAGACACACTGTGGCTGTCACTGTCATGAAGGAGACCTGCTTCCCAGATCTAGCAACAGGTGTGAGGCAGCATCATGAGGAATGAGAACAGACACAAGATCCGGGGACTCACCATTCAGGAAAGACACTTGAAAGAGGGACTTGGGGATAAGGTCCACCCAGCCAAGCCCCTCCATAGCCACACTTGGCATTTCTCAGCAAGTTCCCAGTGCGTGTCACGGAGGCACATACTTACCTTTATCTGCCTTTCGCTCTGCACTCACTTCCTCTGAACGTGCCTTGCCTCCTGTGAGAGGAGGAGTGAGGGGGATAGGAGAGGCAAAGGAGCCTGGCTGCTTCTTGGTCTCCTGTGTTTCCTCTACCAGTGCACAACCTGCAGCCCAGGGTCAAGGTAAACATTCACTGAAATAACAGATCAATCAAAGGATAAATGAATCAGTCTAGAGCAGAGGGATCCCCAGATGAAATGCCCCTCAAATTACATGCAAATACAAGTGGTGCATATGCAAATATTATGTGCAAATTATATGCAAGGTGTCATATATATGTACACATCTGTTTTCCAGGAATAGCATCCACAGTTTTCACCAAAGGCTCAAAAGGCGCTGGGTGCAGTGGTTCACGCCAGTAATCCTAGCACTCTGTGTGGCCAAGGCAGCAGGACTGCTTGAGCTCAGGAGTGAGCTCAAGAGTGAGACGCCGTCTCTACCAAAAAGAAAAAAAACTCCACTGGGCATGGTGGTGCATGCCTATAGCCCCAGATACCTGAGAGGCTGAGGCAGGAGGATCCCTTGAGCCCAGGAGTTGGAGGTTGCTGTGAGCTTCAATGATGCTACTGCACTCTACTCAGAGTGACAGAGTGAGACTCTTTCAACAGTAAAAAATAAGGAAACTGAGCACCCTGCCTCACAATCTCCCACCCCTTCACATTAAAAAATATATATATTTTAAAAAGGCTCAAAAGGGTGCTTGGCTTTGCTCTAAGATACACAAAGTGTCTCAGACTGGCTCTGGCTTCATCCCTTCAAATCCGCTCTTCCTTCAGCTGGATCCTTTAGCGCACACACCCAAGTGTGACTTTGTAACCTACATAAGACGATAGCAATCTTTACACTCAATACACCAAAACTAAGGTCAGCCCTGCTCAGGCACATGTAGAAGATTCTACGATGATTGATTTTGAAAGGTTCAGCTATAATTTCCCTTTACATTGGATACGCAGCTATCATTCATAAGATCACTGACCATGGCACTACCCCCCAAAACATAATGCAAGCCACATAATAATTTAAAAATTTTAAATTTTCCACCAACCACAGTGGCTCACACCTGTAATCCCAGCACTTTGGAAGGCTGGGGTACAAAAATTGCTTGGTTTAAGACCAGCATGGGCAACACAATGAGATCCTATCTCTACAAAAAATTTTTGAAAAATTAGCTGGGCATGGTGGGTTGGGCCTGTAGTCCCAGCTACTAGGGAGGCTGAGATGGAAGGACTGCTTGAGCCCAGGAGTTTGAGGCTACAGTGAGCTATGATTGTACTACTATACTCCAGCCTGGTGGCATAATGAGACCTTGCCTCTGAAAAAAAAATTTTTTCTAGCATAAAAAGGTGAAATTATACCAAAAATGCTATAATTTAACATGCAAATTATTAATGTTTTTTACCTTTTTTTGTACAAAGTCTTTCAAATCTTGTGTGCATTTTATACTTATAGAACATCTCAATTTGGACCACCCATATTTCAAGTGCTCAACAGCTACATATGCTAGTGGCTACCACATTGGATAGCATCATTCTAATACCTTTTTTGAATATATGTATATTTTCAGATTACTCAGTATCCTTCCCCAGTTCTTTGAATACAACAATCTCAAAAATAATAACGTCTACCGACGTTTACTGAGAACTTAGGCCAAGCAGCATTGTAAGGACTTTACAGATATTGTAATCTATACAATAGTTTATGATTACATGTGATTTGCCTTTTATTTGGCCTTAAAGTTTTCTCTTTTCAAGTTTGTGGCTCAGGTCCTTAATATAGCATATTCAGATTTAGTAAAACATTTTGTGATCACCCTTTAAATATTTATACACTTGCAGCAGACTCTCTCATCTCCTCCCATCCATCTGACATGAAAGATTCTGTTGATTCCATTTTCCCTGGTTGGCAATGTCTCCAAACCCTCTGGAACTATCTAGATTCACTCATTCATTCATTCACAAAGCATGTACTGAGTGCCTACCATGTATGTATCAAGTACTGTTCTAGGCACCGGACAAGTCAGGCAAGGCTCCTACCTTCAGTTTTGAAGTGTACATTCAGATGGAATCTAAGAATCACAAGCTGGGGAGACAAGGAGGAGAGCCCATTATGTTTCGGCCACTGGAAGGCCTCAAAGTCCTGCCTGACTCATTAATGTCTCTGACCTCAGGGGATTTTATAGACAGCTCCTGCCTCAGGGCTTTGAAAAAGTCTCCACTCAACACATGAAACTATCTCTCGTCTCTTCTATGTACTCTCTGGGATAATGTGTAGGAAACTGCTCCAGCCCAGGTCAAAGGGCTTAAGGGCATGAGCACTGGGCCCAGGGCACAGGAAGCTGGGTGCCAGCATCTCTCCTCTGACTCGCTCTGGGGAAACAAGTTTCTCCTTCTCCCAGGGACTCGGTCCCCTTGCCTGTAGAACGAGGAGTTATCCTAACTACTTCACAAAGTTGATATGAAGCTTGAATGAAATAGGGGATTGGAAAAAGCACCAAACAAACCTATAATTAACAATCTTATAATTAACAATTAACAGTAACAAACTATAATTAACAATCAAAATTTCCACACCAGCTTGCACTACTCTTCCAAAAGACTCACACATCTGCAATCATTGTGAAGAGACTTGGGCAAGCGAGGTTTTTTTGTTTTGTTTTGTTTTAAATCGAATTTTCTAACCTCGAAGACTTTAAAATATATATATCATCAGCTTCCTTTATTCGCCTAATTTCTGACCTAAAAATTCCCATGATGATAATTTTTCCCAAGTGGAAAAAAATGATCGTTGTGTAGAATCGAGGGAGGAATTAATAGGTAAAGTGAAGGGGGACAAAATATACTTAAGTTGTTCTTCCTTTCTCTTCGGGATCCTTAGTCTGATTGATCTCGCCCCAATCTCAGTCCCACGACGCTCTCTGAAGGGCTTGGAGGGGACCCCACGGCCACCACTGCCCGGAGGAGGCGGTCTCCCGGGGCAGATACCTTCCCCGGCCACGCGCGCGCCGCCCCCTGGGACCCTGGGACCAACGCTCAGCACGCACGCCGCCGCCATATTGTCGTCTCCATAGATACGGGACGCGCAGGACGCAGGACACGGCGTCTCCTGGTATCCCGGGGCAACGACAGCAGCCCGAATGAGTCAAGAATAGGAGAAGGCGAATGCGCCGCCCAAGTTTGCTCCTTCTCCTGGCTTTGATTCCATGCCCTTCCCTGTTAGTAGTAACTGTGGGTATGTATAGTCTCCTGGTTGTAACGTTCCAGCAATCTTGACTTTGGTTGACGACCAAATTCATAGGAAGCTACTCGGTGGACTCGGCACCAGAATGGGTGTTATTCCTGTTCTTTGCCGACACGTATTGGTGACATAGGCTCAGAAATTCATCCCTGTGATTGCAATTGTTAACTTAAAAGCAGTTTGTAATTATTTTTTTCTTTTTCACCTAATACATTATTAGTTTTTTTATTTCAGCATATTACGGGGCTACAGATGTTTAGGTTACATATATTGCCTTTGCCCCACCCGGGTCAGAGCTTCAAGCGTGTCCGTCCCCCAGATGGTGCACACCGCGCCCATTAGGTGTGAATATACGCATCTCCTCCTCCCTGCTCCCACCCTCTCCAAACCCGATGAATGTTACTACTATATGTGCACATAAGGGTTGATCAGTTAATACCAATTTGATGGTGAGTATATGTGGTGCTTGTTTTTCCATTCTTGGGATACTTCATTTAGTAGAGTGGGCTCCAGCTCTCTCCAGGATAATACAAGAGGTGCTAGATCACCATTGTTTTTGTGGCTGAGTAGAACTCCATGGTATACATATACCACATTTTATTAATCCACTCATGTATTGGTGGGCAGTTGGCTTGTTTCCACATCCCTGCAATTGTGAATTGTGCTGCTATAAACATTCCAGTGCAGATGTCTTTTTTATAGAATATAACACTGATAATGAGGTTCCAGTTGTTTACATAATTATTTCTTATTTGCATATTGCTTTGCAAATGGATTCCTCTTGCTGGTGGGAGAGAATGTGTCCTTGCCATTTTCTCCCCGCATTCTGCCTACCTAGTGCCAAGAAATATAACTCTTTCGAAGGGATCCAAAGGTTAATGTATGAAGATGGGATTAGTATACGTAATGTGGAGTTTTGGAGGCCTATTTGTTCATTTGTCAGTGTCTGCACTGGGGGAAGGGTCTTATTTTGTGAAGACTTCTTAGGTAGGAAAAGCTGAAAGTCTCAAAGTTCATTCATGGGCAATTAAGGGTGTTTCACTGACTAAGACAGTGACCAGGTTTCCTCAGATGGGAGGGAGTATATGGTTATGGGGAGAGAGCTTAGTGAATCTAGGGTAGACCCAGAAAATAAACTACCATTTTGGGAGAGTTGGAGTTGACTTGTGAAAGATGAAAGGTGGTCTGAGATGACAAAGTAACCTGAATTGGCCTGGGAGATCACATGGCCAGAGACTGGCAGGACTGGAGGGAAGGGGCAGGCCAGGGGCCCTGGCAAGTTGTGCCAGCATGATTAGTCCTGGAATTTTCTTGGAATCAAAGAATGTGAAACTCAGTGAGCTTTTCACTGGTTTTAACAGGATTCTAAGAATCTGAAGCCTGCACTTTGGACATAATGACTTTTATGCTGTTTGTAGTTTCTATAATGATTTCCTTTTTGTTTTCCCCTAAGTTTTTTTTAATGGTCAGCATGACTCAGCTGGACCTTAGGGACAAGGAAAAGGACTTGCCCATTCTTAGACTAAAAAGAAATAGAGAGCAGTGACTCTGGGGGCAGGGTTTGATAGCAGCCTCAGGAAGCCTGGTGAGAAAACCCCGAGGAGAAGGAAAAGCTCATGCTAGGAGCCATGCATCCTCATGTCTCTTCACCAAGGAGTCTCCCTGCTCTTGTCTGCTCAAACCTTGGTGGATTTTGGATTTGAGACAATGAAAGATGGTTCCTCCTCTTAGCAGGGCCCCTGTGGGCTCTGCTTCTGTGGGATTCTAGCTGCCTCCTAGAAGCTCTGCTGGCAGGTGACCTTGACTAACATTGCAGACTCCCAGACACAGACCTGCCTGCTGGACTTTGCCCAGGGAGGCAAATACACGGAAAGAGACTTCACAAGGGCTTGAGCCCAGTTAGTTGGAGGAAGCAGCTGGGTTTGCTTTAGAAGTCCCCCTTTCCAAGAGCCCAGTACCCCTGGGAGATAGTAGGTGCTGGGTCCTGGTGTTCATATCCTCCCCAGACCCAAAAAAGACCACAGTGGGGGTGCTGTTTGGTTCAAGGCTGTGAACAACGGTGGGTGATGATACAGGGGGAAATTGAGGGGGACCAGGATAGGGAGAAGGGAGGAAGAATAGGGGTGAGACAGCTTCAGATCCTCCTGGCCTGGAAGCTAGAGGTGGGATCTAATAAAGATAAAGCACACCCAGTGATTTGGACTTCAGCACACACAAAAATATATTTTCTAAGCACTTCTTTCAGGTATCTTCCCATGTTCTTCATACTCTCCCTGCTCCCATGGGAAAGAGAAGACTCTGGGCTGGGAAATCAGACAGACCTGGGATTAATCTTGACTATTACTTACTGGCTGTGTGACCTTGGCAAGTCATATGACTTCTCTGAACTTCAGTTTCCCTCATCTGTTACTTGAAGATAATTTTCAAAAAGCAGATGTGAAGATGGAGTGATAAGGTATGTGTAAAGTACTTGACACATGGTGGGCAATCAACAAAATTACACTCACACACACAGAGGAAGGTCACTTACTAAATGGAAGGTCCCCATAAATAAGCCACTCAACCTTCTGTGCACCTTCCCCTCCTACCAGCATCTAGCTTCTCTGCTACATGCTGGAGAAGTGGGAAGCTTTTGTCCTCTCTGCATCCTCCTCCCTTGTGTCTCCAAGATGGGTTTGCTTCCTTGCTCTGGGGTGGAGAAAGACAAGAGGAGATGCCAGGGTGCTGTGCTGTCCGATGGCAAGTCAGGCATTAGGAAGCTGTCTCCTGCCTTCCTTTACCTGGAGATGCTGACTCCATTTTGAGTGTTGGCTCTGGAATCAGGTCTGCATCCAAGATGTGGGAGTGAGGTGAGTAGGAGCCTACTCACCTTCTGTGGAGCTTTCTGTGGAGCCTCCCACAGAAGCTTCTGACCTCGGAAATGAGTAGGGGGAGTCTTCTCAGCAGAGCCTGAGGGTGAAGAGTAAGAGAGGGTTGCAGCTAAGAGACTCACTGTGGTAGTTCAGGGCCGGATCTAGGAGCAGACAGGGGACACTGTCTGTATGACAGTCTCATGGTCCCCTGTAGCTGCTGGGTGGAGGGTGTCATGAAACTGGTGGCACCTCCAGGCTGAAAGTGCTGCCAGGGCACAAAACTGGCAAGGGTTTGGGGACAGACTGCCAAATGGCAAGAGAATTCAAAGGAAAGGATTCCATTCTGCCTGAGAGCCCCTGGGGTTTTCTAACTCTCCTATGCAAACTCAGGTCCCCTACATAACTTTCTCTATTGTCCCCACCCCTGGGTGGAAATACACACAGACCAACAGTAGAGAAATGGAGAGAAAAGGACGTAAAGTTTGATTTCAGAAGACTAGAGTTCAAGTCCTGGTTTCAGCTTCTAATAGCTGAGCAATGTCAGGCAAATTGTTAAACCTGCCTAAACCGCACTTTCCTCATCTGTAAAATGGGAAGAAACAAGGGGAAGTAGTCAAAATACTTAGTGATTGATAAGGTGTGGGCATTGGCCTTTGAGAATGGACACCAGCTGGCTTTAGAGCCACAGTAGACTCTTGGAAGCCCACATGGTGCCAGGGGTCATGGGGAAGCCTGGGTGGTGCACAGAGGGGCCTGGGAGGGCAGCCAAGGCAGTAGAGGGCTCAGTCAGTGACTATTTATCAACTGGCATCAAAGTATTTCCAGATATAAGCAATCAGGATAGTTATACTCTGCTGGCTGCAAGTCAGATCTGAGGAAAAATCTCTACCTCACCAGCTACTGTAGACACAGTTATTTATTGCAACTTGAAGTTGCACCCCTCTTGACTCATCCTCATTGGGGGAGGAATTGTTATCACATCCAACTTCTCATTTCCTTTTAGTCTGAGCAGTGCTCCTTCTCAGTGGCAGCTCCCCCACCTCCCGCACAGTCTTCACCCACACTGTCTGCTGTGGGTTCTCTGAGCAGCACCACGGACAGCTCCAGCTGATCAGCCCATGGAGGCCATCCCCCTCCTCCCTCCTCCAGCCTTCTATCTCCTCTTCCTCCACCCACTCCGGCCCAGAAACCCTGAGGTCTGAGCTGAATGAGGTCATCCCTGAGGAGACAGCACAGTGGGCTGGCCAGGAAAGAGCTCTGGAGCCAAACAGACTGGATTGGAACGCTAACCCCATGAGCTACACAGCTGTATGGCCTTGTTCCTTCACTTCTGTAAGACCCAGTCTCCTACCTGTAAACAGGGGGAGCTTTATCAGATACCTCAAAGGTTGTGAGGTTTTGGTAAGATAAAAGCTTTTTGTTTTTTGAGACACAATCTCGCTGTGTTGCCCAGGCTAGAGTGCCGTGGCATCAGCCTAGCTCACAGCAACTTCAAACTCCTGGGCTCAAGCAATCTTGCTGCCTCAGCCTCCCGAGTAGCTGGGACTACAGGCATGCACCACCATGCCTGGCTAACTTTTTTTCTATATATTTTAGTTGTCCAATTAATTTCTTTCTATTTATAGTAGAGACAGGATCTAGCTCTTGCTCAGGCTGGTCTCGAACTCCTGAGCTCAAGCAATCCCCGCCTTGGCCTCCCAGAGTGCTAGGATTATAGGCGTGAGCCACCGCGCCCGGCCAAGATAAAAGCTTTAAAGAACTTAGCTTAGTGTCTGGTTCATTACAGGTTCTGAATAAATGAAGAACACTATTTTCTGTGACTTTCCCACGCTACATAATTCCTCAAACCCTTTTCTAATCAATTTGTGATCAGAACACTCTTTCAAGTGAAGATGCCATACCATGACCACTGCCTCAGTACAGCTGGCCTCCTTTGGATTGGGAAGTTGGTTTGGACTCGGGTAG